TTCATCCATTCATCCCTTCATCCATTCATCCATTCATCCATTCATCTATTCATCTATTCATCCATTTATCCATCCATGATCTACCTATCTCCATCCATCCATGTGTCCAGCCCGCTTGGAAGCATCTTGTAAAGTGTATTGTATTAAACCATTTTCCATGCATCGGTTCATTGGTCAAAAAAGCATTAAGTCGAGGATGCAAGGTTCAAATTTGAATAATCCTTTGAAAGTGCCTTGGCGCCTCGCTTGACCGCTTTGTGTTTGACCGGTGAACTAATGTATGGAAAATGGTGAATTGTATTGTATTTTGTATCATACACCCACCACCAAGCCCATCAATCCATTAATCCATCCCATCATCTCATCCCAACTCATCTCATGCATGTATCCATCCGATCCTATCTCATTCCACTCCAAACATACATCTATCCATCCACCGTCGTTTCTTCGATCTATTCATCTGTTCGATATGAATTTAAGAAACTAACTTAAAAACGACCACCTTCCTATCTAACAACGGACCAACATTAATAGGCCATTTGCAGTTAACGGTCACGTGTCTGTACTGGCGAGCAAAATTCTTTATTTCATTCTAAATTGGTGATTCTTTTTAGCTACTGGTAAAGAACTGAATGAAACGATGTGTAACCAGTGTGTTACGAAATGCATTTTTATTACGATCACGATCTCTCGAAACAGGTAGTAGAAAGTTAGTTTGCTCACCAGTATATGTCACCCATGGGAATCAAGATGTTCATTCATTTGCTTTCAGTGAATACTCCCATTTCGAGTTCAGCACATGATTACTGAGCTGCAAAGGGTTTATTTCCGTACGACTACTATAGCTGGGCGGGGCCACTTAGACAGCGAGAACCAATCGAATTGTGGAATGAAAACAATGCATTCCAACTTTGACAAGTGGAGCCAATCAGAAAGCAGCAGAAAACAATAGTAGCCTTTAAACATATCAATGTATTCCCGTGAAAAAGTAGAAAAAAGAAAAGAAAAAAGAAAAGAAAGAAGAAAGAAAAGAAGATGGCTATCAAATTGTTTACAAGTAACACCAGGGTCAAATTACCATTTTTTTGCAGTCTAGGCTTCTGATTGGCTTGACTATCCAAAGTTAGAATACATTGTTTTCATTTCACATTTTAAACACGTAAATGGTTCTCTTGTCTAACTGGTTTTAGTGGCCCCGGTTACAGTAGTTGCACTGTAACCCTGGCCATCTATCATTTATTTATTTATTTATTTTTATATTTTGCGCTGTTTCCTGTGCAGACGATGGCATATTGACATTACCAATGTTCGCAAAAAGATTCCTTTCGTCTCGTCGGCAATTTTCATCCATCAGCAAAAGAGGATCAACAGATGCTGTCGAAGAGTGTTGCATCGAGGGATGTTCACTATCTGAGATAGCTGAATATCAATGCTAACCTCCGGGACTTGATTATATAGATAGATAGATAGATAATGTATATTAAGCTCTGTCTCGTATCGAATCCAGGTAAATGAAGAGAATACAAAGAGAAACTCGTCGCTGTAATTCCGAACTTTGAGAGATGGGAAATTATCCGACTAGTTTACTGTAAAGGTTGTTCTTTTAATATCGCTTAATTATGGATGGTAAATCGCAGTTCTTTACCTTCGTATGTAAATTGTCCATTTAAGACCACGTGTATTCCCCTGAGAATTGTTCTTTTATGACGATAATGTTAGAATATTTACACATGAAATAATCAACTCCCAAGAGTGCCATGGCTCAAGACATGGTCTGAAATGGGACAACAAACAATGAAGGTAAAGAGGTCTTACAAAGAAAATCTTTAAAAACAATACAATGATAAACCATGTTATTTTACCCATTCATAACCAGCGCCTCTCTCGATATGAATTGCTGGTTTAAAATCATTCCCTATAGGAGGTGAATTAATGATTAAAGTTATAATTGTCTCGTTACTTTTTCTTTACTATTTGTCATCATGAATCCCGTGTTCTTACTACGCCCTTTGTGTTGAGTAAATACGCTCAAATATTTCAATAGGACGTTTGCATGATGGCGTCATTGACTTCTACTACCAGACTCCCTTCCAGACTTTCTTTTGTTCAGTTAATTAGCTGACCAAATTGTCTTGCTATTCTCATAAATGAGGGAATATAAATTTAAATAAGAAAGAAAATTCGCGAAGCATCTTCGTAATGGGAGTCAATTGACCAAGTCGGTTCGGGCGTAATGTTTTCCCATTTCAGACCACGTGTCATTCCCTAGAGTATAATTTCTTTGTTTAACAGTTGCACATGAGAAGACACATGAAAATGTATACAACTCAAACAAAGAATGTTATTCTCAAGGGAATAACACGTGGTCTGAAATGGGACAACATTACGCCTCAGCCGAGGGGTTCTACGCCCCATCATGCTATCGTCTTGCTGTAAATTTTTGCGAAACTGTCGGATCGGTAGATACTTCATATACAACACCGCAAAGTGTCATCATCGTTCTTCAAGGCACAAATGTCGATTCAAATGTGTACATATGAAGTAATTTCCTGATGCTTTCTGTCTCAGTCTTTCACGGTAAAACATCCCACTAGCTCTCAGGCCATACTCGTCCAGTTAACTCTTTCATTTCCTTGCGGGGTTTGGTACTAGTCAGTAGTCCCATGCTTGTAATAGAAGAATGATATCGGAGATACTTCGTTTCTATTTTTATTTCATATCGATGATTAGTTAGTCATATCGTGCTTGTGTGTTAAAAATGTCAAATAAAATTTAGACTCCACTCTCAACTTCTCACGTTATTTCTAAGAATTGTTCGTGAAAGAAACTCTGAAATTACACAGGGAACCCAATCAATTAAGTGCGCACGGGCGTAAGTACCCAACACAGGGAACCCAAAACATTTTATGACGAAGGAGTGCAGGTAGAAATAGCTGTTGTGCGCACTTTTGTAAACGGTAACACAGAAACTTAATCACTGGAGTGCCGTTAAAGTTGTAAACATATACATCTATCTGAATGAAGTGTGGTATAGAGGTTAATGGCAGTCGCCTTCACCTGGATCTGGGGTATCGTGTTCGATTCTTGGACTCGGCATCGCATGTAAAGAGATTTTGTTTAGGTCTCTCCCTTGATTTCAGTGTTTATATCCGGGCTCAACGATTTTTCCTTTCTTCGCAAAACCTAACATGCCGCTAATTTCCAATTCGATCTGTGAGTTAGCCGTGTTCTAATCTAAAGTCACGTTTTGTCAATAATAAAATCTGAAGAAAAAAAAGAAAAAAGAAAGAAAAGATCAATTTATTCAGCTGATAAACGAAAGGGTACACAGCTCACAGAGGAATTAGAGCCGATATTTGGACATTGTAACACTTTATTGTGTATAGTATGTCGTTCACTGATTATGAGTGCACAGAGATATTCCAAGCTCTGTCTGTAAAATAAACCGCCATCAATTACACCACGTAAGGTAGTCACATTTCATACGTGATCATTTTAATGATCATTTGGGTGAAAATTATCCTTTATTTGGAGGCCTGTTGCGCTTATTATCTTATTTATAAATCTTCGTACATTTTCCTTATACACTTTTTCAATAAAGTTAGTCACCTGAAAAGCTATTAAGCTGAGGCCGACAAGGATTATGGGTAGATTCATTTACACGTTCAATGCAACCGCTTGATAACTGTTTATCGACTTGCAAATCTTTTACCGGTTACAGTCTCATCTCTTCTGAGCATCATCGAGCTGCAGTTTRTATTAAAAAAGCTTTGTATATATATGCTTTTTTTGATATTAAAAAGTTTCCCATGATGCTCAGTGATCTCAGCTTTCTAGGTTTTTGGTGACTAACTTTATTGAAATAAGTGTATATTATAGAAGAAATAAACGCAATATTGGAAATGTAACGTAAAATAGCCCCATAATGCACTGCAATGCCAACTTGACCCAGGTTTTTTATCGACCTGGGAATGGTTTGACTTGCTGTTAAGGATAACGTTTCTTAGTGGTAACAAAGATATTTAAAAGGATATCTTTTTTTTACTTTGAAAAATAAAACATAAAATGTTCATAATCAATACCGCTGTGAAAGCTGAACTGAAAAAGCTGAAAATAAGACTGAAAAGAGAAAAAGAAAGAAGAAAAGATAGGATGAAAACATAACTAAGCAATCGCAAAAGAACTGAACTCTCAACATTTTTTTATTTTTGAAAAAAATGTAATTTCTGTTTTTCGCTAGCTTTTGTTCATCTGAACTTGATAGATTTATTGTAAGGCGTAATTATATAACTTACTTGTAACGATATACTTGAATAAGAAACACTCATAGGAGTTATTTATTTGAAAGAAAACATCAGTTATGATCAGTACTCTAGGGAAATTACGAAGGTGAATCATTTGTTCTGCTCCAAGTTATTAAAAGAAATAAATAAAGACAAGAAATCCCCTTCTAATTTTGCCCAAGTTGAACGTCATATTTGACCAGCTTTTGAAGTGTTGATGCTTCTAGTAAAAACGACTGAGCAACGACAAAGGAATTGACAGGCCTGGCCGTGTTATTCGCACGGAGTTTTCATCTCTCTCAAGCAGCTGAAATAACGATATTCGAAACACTCTCGCCGACTTGTTTGGACCTTGGAAGATTTCAAAATTACTTCGCCTTGCTTTTCTTATTCAATATTTAAATACTTCAAAGCCAAGACAATTATTATGCGAAGCATTGCCTTAAGTAAAAGTTCATTGATGGCTAAATATAGCTATTCCACATAATTACTGCACATTTATGATATTCAATTTTTAAATTCTCCGTTTTAAAACAATTTTATGTGAATACGAAAGTGATACTGCTGTAATTGGGAACACTTTATTCATTCATTGTTATGGAAACTTCATCAATGTTTAATGTTTAATTCAAGTACTGCTATGCTGAGATTAACCGGGAAATAACTACTAGTTTTCTATAAATATTTCCCCTTTTTTTTACTCCTAAGGCAAGCCATAATAATTGCTATTTAAAGAGTTGCTTTTGAGAAAAAGTTCAGCGCGGAAATATCAATGCACATTTACCTTATTCAATTTTATTTATTTTTTCGTCTCGGAACAGTTATTTTAAAAATATAGTTATAATTTGATCATCAAAACTCTATTCATTCACTTTATTGTGTATCTTCTTTTTAAATATAGCCAACGCATAAAATTTTGGGCATACTTTTTTAAATATTCGGTATTCAGAATTTTGCTATGCTGAGATTAACCTGGTTACTAATCGGCACGAGTTTTCGTCCCCCTGAAATATAATTTATCTTTACGTAAACAATGTTATGATTAATACTGTTTCAAAATTCGAAGGAAGAAGTATAAAAATAAAACTGGAAGTATTTCAATTCTGTTTTGAACAACAATTGTTACTTTAAGTTAATTATTTCTGCATCGAATTTTCCTTGTGAAATAATGGTGTGTTGTTTTTTCACACTTTTTACACTGAATAGAACAATAGATAAGTTTATCAAAAGATAAATGGTTGCGTGTAGTAAAAAAAAGCTCTATTCTCAGGTACGTAAAGTTTGATAATATGTTATCTTAAAGTATACCAAACAGAGTAGAAAGTTTAAGCACAAAAATTTTGACTGAATAAGTATCCATTAAAATTAATCGAGAAGACGTTTACAAAACTGTATTCTAAAAATAAATAAATAAATAAATAAAAAGAGAGAGAGAGAGAGTAAGACGAAGAAGGAGAAGAAGAAGAAGAAGAAGAAAAAAAAAGAGTTTGGTAACTGAAACTTGCGAGAATCGAAGAGTGTAGAATTTTCTAGTTAAGTTGTTTAGCAATTTAAGCCGAAATCTTCAAAACTGAAACTTAGCACGTGACTTCCATGTGATTTTCAAGTTGTTTAGAAATAATATACTCTATAGCTTATTAGGCCCATCAGTCTCGCATAAATCAAAAAACTATACTTTTCATATATAGAAAAAATGATCTCAAGGCTTCAATTTTCTCATCTTATTTTTAAAGTTATGGAGTTTATAACGAAATTGGCTGATATGGAATACTGAAGTGAGATGTTTAGCTTATGCCGGAGCGATATTTGCTTAAAACATCAAATTAAATCGGGCCTTAATTCAACCCGTTTTAGCAACACCAAATTACGATTTATAACCTGGAGCAAATCTCGATTTTTTGTTTATCTACTGAGTGAATCTATAGTCAAAATAAAATTTCATTTGGATTCTTAAGATTGATATACAAATTTATTTTGTTACATGTCTATTTTTGGTTTTTTTTTTTTAACGAAAGAATTAAATGGCCAAACAATGTGTGTCGTTTTATCACTTCTTATCGGAAAAATACTCGCTCTTTTCAGCAAAAGTTATAATATTTAAACGGTATCATAAAACAAAATAAAATTTTAGAATTAAGATTTTGAGTTCAAACTTTGATTTCGATTCCATTTTGAGAAGAAAAATAGAGATAGAGTTCCTTAATAAGCAACTGGTCCTTAAGTTTGTACGTGTGTAAATCGTTTTCAGTGTTTAGTTTGTGCCGCGGTGTTATTGTTTAATGTATAATTGAATCATTTTCTTTCATCTTAAAGTTCATCGCTCTATGTTCATGTTCATTCAGCAAAAGCTAGAGTTATTTTCTTTGGACCTATAGGTCGGCGTTGTAGTTGTTTGAAAGAATTAAATCTTTCACAAACACTTCAAAAAAGCCGAACTCTTCAACTCTCTTTCACGCTGTGAATTTAAGCAAGAGTTCTTTTGAATATAATATCTATTCAAACAATGTTTATAGAACTGTTTGCTGTTTTTTTAGGGACTAGAACACGCAAGACTCTTTGACTCAAATCAAGCATTTTCAAATATTTGCTAGGAATTTACCACAACTTTTACGAAACCTGAGTCAAAGTCAAAAATAAAATTTGATGTTTTAATTTTGGATGTTGATTGTAATTTGGAACATGTGCTTCTATTATTTTGGTGTTGAGTGCTCAAGAACTTCAGACTTCGCAAGAATATAATAAAGAATTAATCTTATGTATTGGAAAAAAATGGGCGACTAAATTATAACTATAATACTAAAATAAATTTCGTTTAATTCTAATTCAATTGATAAAAAATTGTACTTCCTCAAGCACACGTAAAAATAAATGATTTTTGGAAATCTTTTAACGAAATTTTTCTTTTCGAGACTTGACGAATTCCACGAGGAATTCATTCATCCTCTTTTTTTTTTTTTTTGAAACGTTTCTTTAAATTTTGCAGTTCAATAAAGCGTTTTAAGATTGTTATATGTGTACAAATTCATTTGTAAGATTTTAATTGATGTTTTTGGACTCGACAGGAGAGCATTCCTCGAGGCGACCATGCTAGCTTAGTAATCCCCACAATCAAACGCGTGTTGAGGATGTTTAACTTTTATTATTTGGATTAAATTGTTACAAACTGCAGTCTCAACAGCACCGATTGCATTTTAATAGCATGATCATCTACTGTTCTTAATTGATTCCTTAAGCATTTTTCCTCCTTGCTCAAATTGTAATTATCAATTGGTTTAAAAAGAATGCATACTTTTCTTTTATTTCTGATCAATTCTTTTGGTATTTTCAGATTGTTGTTTTTAGTATTTTTTGTTAAGGAAAAATTAATTTTTTAAAGAAAAAACCTTGATTTTTGAAGCAATGCAAACGTTATAAGTATATACCAACTAAGTTACTTCGTTGATTTTGACAAAAATGAATTTGCCACTATTAAGTGAGAAACATTTACAATGTGACGTGACCTAGAAACAGTAGAAGTTTTGCTTATTTCATTTTTTTATAGTTGAAAAAAGCGACTGAGATGTTACTGAGGCCGCGAGCCGATTTCAAGCGTACACTTGCAAAAGATCGTATTGTTTTCGCATTGAAATCAAGCACTTTAAATGAATTATCATAACTAAATCACCACACATGGGTTTGAAGTTCAGGATATTCGCTGAAATTTATAGTAGACAGCCTCTTTTACAACAGTAGCTAATTAATATTCTGTGTTTAAACCGAAATCCTGCGTTAGGAAAGTAATAATTACGACTCCTAGATGTCAAGAACACACGGAAATGAATTGCAAATCACCTTCCAATGGGATTGAATTTGCTTAAGATTGCTTCATGCGGGGGGTTTTGGTTTAGCGAATGTAGTTTTTTGACGGTTACAAGCCGTGTATAATCTTACTTTTTCATTGGTTAATTAGTATGCAAACTTTAAACAATAGCTCGGCGTTGGGGAATTTTTTCACAAAACGAACCCGCGAAAAGCTACTCGTTGATGGGCGCTTTGAAAGAACACCAAATAGGCGCTTTGAAATCATTGATACAGGATTATACAAATTGTTACTCTAAATAACACACAACAAATGGAGCTAAATGTCCCAAGTACTGAACAGCAGACAATACACTGGCAGAAATGAAGAGAGGTGACTTCTCAAAGAACTAATACGTCTGCCAATTCTTTTGATCATGTGTTTCTAACATTAGTATCACAAAATGTATGTGTACTTATTAAGGCTGAAGACAATTATTGGAAAGTTCATAAAGAATAGCAGAAATTGCACAATGAAATCGCGACCCTGGTCTAGGTGCCCCGCCCTAAATCGTCTCATATGAAGATTTTCCTATTCTAGGTGTGTTTTTTTGGCCTCGTGTTCTCTCGTTTTGCCTTAGAGAGACACGTTTTGGTTTATTAAATACATTATTCTTGATTTGTGTCAGTTCGTGCTTTAAGCACGTTTTTAACCTGCATAAGGTATCCTTAGCTGAAGTGCCTATTAACTACTGATTCTATCTATTGTATAGAGACAACGAGGAGAAAGTAGATCAAAGAACCCTACGAGTCCATAGAATAGGAACTTGTGCTGTTACCTAGAACCCAGAGATAAATGCCTTTTTTCTAAAGCATTGTCTGTAGCTTATTCGGGACAAATAAAGAGGCTTCAAAGCCCGAAAACCAGTCTTGACACATGATCTGAGAATACAGGGAGAACAAAAGGGGGTACCTTATGTCCCATAGTCAGGGGCTTCGACGGAGCTTTTCCCTGACAAAATTACAGAACTTTAACTGGTTCAAGTCTTGGATTTTCTTCACGGGAGAAGAACTTCTACTTTTAGAGTTATCAGGAGGATTGCGAGTTCTGTTTTGAAGATAAGGGGCATTGTCTTGAGCAGTATTCATGTGATAGGATGCTAAATTTCTCGAATGAAACAAAAGTGGTTATACAATGCCCAGGTGCTAGCCATTAATGCTAACCCCTTTTTAATGGAGTGAATCTTATTAATAAGCTTCCCGTATACGTGCTCGCCTGGGCAACCCCGAACCACGAAGATTGATCTATGCATTAATTAACGTGCCATCAACTACATGTGTTTCTTTGGACCTGGGGCAGGTCTTGTTTTTAAACCATTCAATGAAGCACCCTTCCGACACAAATATGAGGCTAAAGAGCCTGCTTCRGACAACTGTGCTGATCGGAAAAGACCCTTATATTCGACTAGTAAATACAGTAGTTTTGCTGTTAAGCTTTCTTCTAGCTGAGGGTCTCTCATTGATTGTTTAAGCACATGGGTGCACATTATGATAGTACCTTATAGTGATTACTTTTGGGCTTTTCACCACCCTTTATTGTTCTCCAAGTAAATAGCTAACACCTTAAATCTAATGACCAATAAAGACTTGAATAACTAGGTGATACGGCAAGGACGAAATAGGCTACAAAAGTATACAATAGCATGACACCTTTACAGTGATTAGAGGAGCTGGGTAAACTAGGTCTCTAGACTTTCTCTTTGGGCTGGATAATAGATGGGGTGACAGTTGTCGAGGCTCGACCCAGATAAATTCCACAAACATTTTTGTATGAAAACACCTTGGATAGATTCGACAAGCATTACCCATCAAGCAAATGCACGCACACACACACACACACACACAAAAAAAAAAAAAAAAAAAAAAAAAAAAAAAAAAAAAAAAAAAAAACAGAACAAAAATGTATGTTTGTACAAATAACTGATTATTTAGAATTTCACAATCGTATTGTAGTCTAATGTAGCATGCATTTTATCGTTTCCATAGTGTTTCAAAACAGGTCCTGTAAGATACTTATTATCTCGATAATAAAGGACTGATTTGCCCCTCTTATCTGTCAAATTCTAAGATGTCACCCAGCCATTGTTCCGTATAACAGTGCAATACTTTCCTTATCGTATGACTATTTGTGAAGATTTAGCTATACCGAGCTATCGATAGCTATGCATTAAGTATAAGCACCTTTCTAGTAATTTAACACACAAATTAAACAGTTTAAACTAATTTGTTTATCAGGTTTAAAGCCTTCTTCAAAATAATCTCACTAACAAAATGACGCAGAAATGATGCAAGAATGGAATTGATAATGATGATAACGCTACGAGTTGTAGGGGCACATTTGCATAATAAACGAATGGGGATGTTTCGTCAAAATGAGCTCGGCTCTATAGATTACTTTAGGGCTATTATATTTATTCTTAATGGGGGTATTTGTAATTTTGTGAAGTCTGTACACGCGGCTTTTTGATCTTTAGTTTTGGAGATCTAGTTGTGATAATCCAATTAATTGACTGTCAAAATACAGCTCGATGCTGATTGGCTGTGTCGGCAGGTGGAGACCCTATTAAACTGCGCTCAAACGCTCATTTCATTGGAATCGCTGGAGACGAACGGAGCTAAACTGGAGAAGCCCAAGGAAATCCCTACCACGATATTTCACTAGAAGCCAACCTAATTTCAAAGCTTTGGACCTCACAAGCCCTTGGCTCAAAAACTACGAAAGTTGTGAATACATTAATGTGGCTATTTGCCTGGTGTTTTTTCGAAGAAAATTTGTGATACAAATGGAGTTCCAGGATTACGCGTTTTCTATGCCAACATGCTATCAATTGGGAATACCAAACGAGAACTCTCCAATGACTCAATATCATCAGCCTTACCACTATGCGCCACAAGTAGCGATGCCTATTCCACATCCTCTATATGACTATAATCTCGAGCCAGCGTTCATTCGGAAACGAAACGAAAGAGAGAGGATCCGCGTTCGACATGTTAACGAAGGATACGCAAGACTCAGGGAGCACTTACCCGAAGAACCTACAGACAAACGCATGTCCAAAGTAGAAACTTTAAGAGCAGCGATACGATATATCAAACACCTCGAGAGTCTTCTTGAAGGAGAATCAACAGAAAATACCGAAGAAAATGACAAGTACGAACAAAAAAATCAAGAAAACCAATCTTGAATCGTTTGTTGTGATTGAACAACAATAAAAAGATATAAATATATATTATACATATATTAAATACGGATTTAAAATGTTCCACAAGGTATTTAAGCACTTCTGGATTCACCAAAAGTAACACTGAAAGCAGAAAGACTTATATGGAAAGGAAGACTTGTGTGTGTTTATCGTTTGTCTGTTAGAAATTATTTGTAAAATTAGATACATTAGCGACCGGAGAGCTCATTTGTGATGTTAAAAAAATCAGTTACATTTTGTAAAAACGATACATATATTTAAAAAAAACAACAAAACCAGTTGGAATATCATTAAAACACATGAAATATATATAACGTTTCCATTGTTTTAATATCAAATTCAAAAGAAAACTTTTCAAAAACTGTAATTAAGATAAATCTTTGTGGGAACGAAGTTAATTACGATTTGTTTTTTAGTTTTAATAAAAATACGTCAAATGTCAAATGGCGAAAATTATCTTCAGTTAGAATTTATGTAGCTGGAAAACTGATTTTTTTTCTTTCTTTTTCAATGCTTTTATTGAAATCATGCAATGTTATTTTTATAGACGTAGCCAATGCAGTGTTTAATCAAAGAGTTTTTCATACACAATACGTAAAAACAATTGATACGAAAGATATAGCTGGTTAATAGCGCTTAAAGAATACATTAGTGAATTTTCTAGAAAACTCAAGATATTTTTTATATCAAAAATACTTTTGAAAATACTAAATACGAGAAATCAAAATATTATCAATTTACGGTTTATTATTTTGGCTGATTTTTTCACGAAGATCTGGAATCCTCGAGTTGTTGAAATCAAGACATTTCTCAGCGCATGGCAAGTAGAGTTTTGGTTCTTTTGTGTATCGTGTTAGCAGCTGTACTAACACAGCTCAGGCGAATTTTTGTCTTGCACTGATTCAAGCTAATATCATTCTTTTAGGCTGTTTATTCCCAGAAAAGGAACCTTATACCGACCAACTTTTAAAACATTTTAAAAGCAATTCAATGAAGTCATCAAGTTTCTCACCATGATTTTGAAGGTGATTTTTGAAGATTTCCGAGTAATCAAATTTCAAAGAAAACAGATACTTTTTAATTCTGTTTGGTTAAAAGGGCAATTTTGAATTCATTAAAACAAAATACATCGATAATCGACTGTCCAAGATTAACGGCTCTGTATATTTGGTTAATCAGGGTTTTATAGTTGATAAATAGTGTTTTTAAAGTTTCTTGATCCGATGTTGAAGCTTCGCTCAATTACTAATACCCAGTTACATTACCAGAGCCGTTCCGTGTTTTGTAAAAACAAACGATTTCCAATCTCTACTTAGTTTATCTTGGACCTGTTATCTTTAAGGACGTATAAGCCGTGAGGTTTTGTGAATGAAACCAAGCGGGTTGGATTTAATAGATAAATTCTCTACCGACTACCTTGTCGCCGAACTATTTCGATATCAATTTTCGGACGAACATTTTCATAATTTTTCCCCAAGCAACCAACTCACAACCATGGAATGACTAATATTTCTATAAACACGTGCGAAGAAAATCAATGTACTTTGTTTGCATGTGAATATAAAAGGAGCAGTCGAGGAAATATCAGATAAAGACGTACGAAATTCAAGGCTCGAAGCATCTTTTCGCGATATTGAATATTAGTATTTAGCTGCTGGAGGGGTTAAGCTATAGTTCCGCTTGAGTTCACTTTCATTAGGCATGATCGTTAGTGTTTTGGTTAAAAATGACAAAGACATTTCCGATCTTGCAATAAACTTTACCAATTTCTGTATCGAGTTTTTTAAAAGAACATTACACCATCAGGAATCGCCTACTTTAATTGATTTGTCTCTTATTGTTCTGATGTGCCGTAACAGGAAAACAGGAACAAAAAATCTCGATTCTTTGTAAAATTACCCCGAGAAAAAACTCATAAAAGATTTCCTAATCGTTAACAACACAGTGCCAAAATCATAGAAAAAAAATCCGCATTATCATAAAAGTTAAAAGCCTATTTAAATCCATTTTAAATATGTGTATATGTACACAATAAACATTTTGTGTATTGTTGCGACTTCGATATTGCAGTCGAATAGAAAGAGCAATATGAAATGAAATAAATTTTACAAAAAGTTTTTTTTTAATTTATTGAAATATCTTTGAAACACATTTATAGAAGTTGGTTCTCACAATCTAGTCGGCTTTCCTCATAGCCAGATCAGATTTCGCATGATTTTCTCATTGATCGGCACACTAAAGCTTAAATCAACCAAGTAAAGTTAGATCGAAGCACGTGGGACATTAAGAAAACTTGATACACAATTAGCACGTTAAACGGCATTTTAGCAGGCCAAACATTCATCGAAATACGATCTTTTTCAGTCGTTGCATGGGTCGACAATATAATTTTGGTATCAAACAGCGGTTAAGCCAGTAAGCATGCGACTATAGAATTTCTATATGGCTTAGACTTTTAAAGGGGTATGGAAGTTGTGCACTTGAGTGGTTGAAATCTAGTTGTGAATCTTCAGTCTTCGAATGCAATGATATCTTCTTAACAGGTGTAAGTTGATCAATGATAGCATGTAAAAGCCGGTGCAATATCGGTAATCAGTTCTTCTCGGATCGATCGCTTTGTACAAAGTGTCTGATGAATGAGACTTAACAAGTTGTGCATGCGGCTCAACTAGGACAATTGTTCAACACCCTTATGGCTATTGTTTGTTGAGTAAACTTCGGGTGATTTTACTGTGCAACTAGCATAGAAACCATTCATTAGTGGTTGTAAGAATGGTAATCACAAAACTCGATGTTTGGCCAAAATTTCACTTTCGTTTTTCACTGTGACTTCAATTTTTGTTCTCAGACTTCGACAAAAATCCAGATTTTCAAAATAAGAAATACCATTCTCTTTTAGTCATTTTGGTTAGTATAAGATTCAAGTTTTAGTCCATTATAACATTCCTTCCACTAACCAACTTTAAACAAAAAAATATAAATTTTATTGCTGGATTACTGACAAAGAATGAAATCCAAATACTTCAGCTATCTCCAATCGGAACGTCGTTTCTTTGACTATGCTAATTGTCTTTTACTTTGTGTTAAGAGGTTTCCTAGGTTCCCGTGTCGTTGACAAAGCATTTTACCTCCTCAAGTCAAACAATGCAATATAACATTTTCATAGTGTACTGCCTTTTTCCTGAAGAACCCTTCACGTCCAAACCCTCTAAGCATATGGCTAAAGCTCGGTGTAAAATTCTTAAAACAGCACAGAACCCTTATGTACGTCTAGAAAAACACTTAGAAACAATTGGTAGCGATGATCCAACCCTTAATAATTACATTAACGCGATCCAATCATCAGGGGAAATCTGTTAGTTTACCCATAAATGAGATAGTAAATCTGTTAGCGCTTTTAAGAGACATTTAATTTCTTTAAAGGATACATTAGAAATTCCGTTCACTAAAATTTGCTGTTTATATCAAAATATATATTTACTTGTAAAGAGTATAGCATTGTAATTTTTTCCGTAATACCTGTTCTCGAGATTGATAGTTTATAACACGTGGGTATCCCTTGAAAAAGCAAAAAAGTCGATTATCTATCTGTCATGATTATTTCGGGTTTTACAGTTCCGGTTTACCTTGGAGTTAATTCAATATGACATCTAAGGACCCGTTAAAATTGAGCTCCCATTTTAGTCCTTTGTGTTTTTATCGCTTTAATAAAGAGGTCAGACGGTTGTGGATTAAGATACGTCTAAAAACTGTCTTTTTAAGTCGATCAAAGTAAACTATAGTCTATTGAAATTCATCGACTTTTCACATTTACCCCGACGATATTTACACTTACACAAACAAAAAGTGCTTGCGAAATGATGATATTTAAAATACAGAAGTTTTGAAATGGTTTTGGAATCATTAAAGGTTATTATCAAAGAAATGGATGAAAAAAGTTCAAAGTCGCGACTCAATCGGTGATTAACCTCGTTGATTATTTCGTGAGTTCAGCTCTAATAGCGAGAACAAAGACATTTTTGAGGTTGAAAAAGGTTCAAAAGGTTCCAGCAGGTACTTTGTATTATCGAAGCAAGAACGACAAACAAGCTTTCTTGGATGAAAGAAAAGTGTGAAAAGAGAAGAGTTATAATTGACAAAGAGAAAAAAATTAAAATTGGAGTCGATGCGGATTGTAATTACAGTTGAAGAAAAGGCTGAAACAATAGAGAAAAAGAAAACAAAGACAAGGAAAGAGTGTTTTTAAATAACGAGAACGCGAGCCATGTTGAAAATAAGACGAAAACGAGTGTCCTGTAAGCTAGTACCGCTTTAAAAAAGTTTGAAAGAATATACAGAAATAATAAGCATAGATAGGGGAAAGAGTGATATTGAGAGGCCTAGTATGATGTCAAAGCAAGCCATTTTCAAAAAAAAAAAAAAAAAAAAAAAAAAAAAAAAAAAAAAAAAAGTAAAAAATTTAATACAAGTTAGAAAATGAGACCCAGAAAAAGCCATAAAAGGAAAACAATTATGTAAAAGAAAAATAGCAAGAATGCAAATAAAAAAAGGCGGAAATCTAGAATGCGGGCATAAAATACATGCAACGTTCAGTTCTCGAAATTCCGGAAAGATATCTTTTTTTAGGAAAAAGAAAACTTCATAGAATTAGACTCAAAGCCATAGCTCGCTTGTTAAAACCACAGGAAGCAAAATAGAACCTCTAGAGCCCAAGGTAAGACCCAAAGATTATTTTTCTTACTCTGGCATTTGTTGAGCCCAGAATAAGTAAGAGTACCCGGGATCCAGGGGTTGTATGTAATCTCGCTCCGGCCGCCTTTGCTGAGCCCTGGGCAAGGTACAGTACCCGGGGGTCCAGGGGTTATTTATTCTCGCTCTGGCGTTTACTAAGCCCAGGGTAAGGTACAGTACAGGGGATCCAGGGGTTATGTAGTTCTCTCTCCGGCGTTTCCTGAGCCCAGGGTAAGCAAGGGAGATTTAAAGTATGATCCAAAGAATATTAAGGTCTCTCGCTTCAAATCCTAGCTTATGTTAACCAAGCGTAAGCGCATAAAAAACAATAATTAATTGGGTTTAATGAACAGAAAGAAATATTTATCTTCGTTTATAATGATACACGCATAATGATATTCAGTTAATATGTACATTCTTCCTTGGTTCTAGAGGCTCGAGGAGGAATGGGGAGAGAGGAGGCCGTGAGTAGCTTCTGGAACCCAGATTGGAATGTTTTAAAGTGTACATCAAGGAAAAAATTTAAAAAAAAAAAAATCACTTATATGTGAATAGTGTAGTAGTATGGTTGCAGTATTTTTGTATGTCAAATTTTCTTTTCGGAGATATAAACATTTTGGAATATCAATATGCAAATGAGATGACGTAAATTCAAGACTATTTTATTATACAGAAATGCTTTTTTGGAAAGTACTGCTGTTTTTGGTTGTTTGTAAGTCATCCTTATGACAGAAATATATGACTTTGTACATTTTTAGGTTATTTCACTTCAGAACACTTTTCGTAAATCACACTGCAAAATGTAACCCATTCTTGAATTTACGTCATCTCATTTGCATTTTGATATTTCGAATATTTATATCTTTGGAAAGAGACGACCACATACAAAAATACTGCAACCAGAATACTACACTGTTCACATATAAGGGATTCTGAAAATAATTTTTTCCTTGATATACACTTTAAATGTGGAGATTTTAAATCGGAATATTTTAGGGATAGATTTGGACTCGGATACATTTTATAAAGAAGAATCGCATGTTTGAAATGGTAAGGAATTAATAGATGGTTTTTGGACGACGAGCTGGCTTACTGCATACAGATCTACCCAGAGGTTGTTTGAAGGTTCGATCTGTGAGTTGGACGTGCACTGACTTAGATCTACCCAGAGGTTGTTTGAGGGTTCGATCTGTGAGTTAGCCGTGCCCTGACATTGATCTACCCAGAGGTTGTTTGAGGGTTCGATCTGTGAGTTAGCCGTGTCCTGACTTTGATCAGCCCAGGGGTCGTTTCAGGGTTTGATCTGTGACTTAGCCGTGTCCTGACTTTGATCAGCCCAAAAGTTGTTTCAGGGCTCCATCTGTATTTTAGCCGTGCCCTGACTTTGATCAGCCCAGGGGTCGTTTCAGGGTTTGATCTGTGACTTAGCCGTGTCCTGACTTTGATCAGCCCAAAAGTTGTTTCAGGGCTCCATCTGTATTTTAGCCGTGCCCTGACTTTGATCAGCCCAGGGGTCGTTTCAGGGTTTGATCTGTGACTTAGCCGTGTCCTGACTTTGATCAGCCCAAAAGTTGTTTCAGGGCTCCATCTGTATTTTAGCCGTGCCCTGACTTAGATCAACCAAGAGGTTGCTTCCAGGTTTCATCTGTAAGTTAGCCGTGCCTATAGCTTTTTTGAAGGACGAAACACCATTTCTACAACAAAATGGTTCGACTTCCATTCCACATGATTCAACAGTGGCTTTCATTTACTGCCTTAAGCTCCAAATATTTATAACTATTAATGGTATTCAAACGCAATATTAAACAGAAGCTGGACTATCAATGCTGGGGGCACGTGATCTTTTGACCTCTAGCTTTCGACACACCCACATAGAAATGATATCCCTATTATTGTCATCATTGGCTCTGATAAAAGCGTGTTCCTAAAAGAACAGAAATTTGTTTGTTAGGACTTATTTTATTGAGAATGGGCTTCCTGTGTTATTTTTTTCAGAGAGAGAGAGAGAGAGAGAGTGGGGCATGTTGTGTCTTGAACATTTTTGAACACAGGCAGTCCATGGAAAGAGAAACCGAATCAAGACAAAGGTGTGTGTGATTTGGACGTTTATAATAATTGTCTTATGTTTCAGATTTGCTTTATACATGCATACTATATCTGTTAGTCTCCCCCACAGCCGCTTTCAGTGTCGTCACGCAACGCTTTCTCCCCGTTGCGTGACGACACTGAAAGCGGCTGTGGGGGAGACTATATATCTGTAGGTCTTTTTAAATTACATATATTATTATCAATATTATTAAAATCACAATTTATTTAATTTTTATATAATATCATTTTTATATTATCATTTATTCATCAATATCATTTAATTATTATTATTATTCACTATTATTATTATTATCATTTATTATTATTATTACTTTATTTGTTCTTTTAAGGTGCTGTTTGCTGTGCTATTGCAAGAGCCCAACTAAAGTAATACAATCAACTTACCACCACAGCTTTGGGTGTTAGACGATAATTCGGGCTTTTTTGCATGCTATATGAAAAAAGAAAACAAGTCAAAACAGGTTGTAATAGACTACTTCGGCGATACGGTGGCCATAATGGATCGCAAGGCATTATGGGTCGACCAGGGGGCAAATAAAGCTTTGTTACAGTAATGACGTCGATTGATATTAACAGCTCACCACAAGAGAATACAAAAAATAATGAATTAGGACGCCACATCGTTCACCTTTACCAAAAAAAAAAAAAAAAAAAAAAAAAAATCCATATAAAAAAAAAAAAAAAAAAAAAAAAAAAAAGGCAAACACAGAGAAATATAAAATTGGTAAATCTATATACTTTCCGTCATCTTGGTTTCGTTTTACCCCCCTGGCAAGATGGCCGGGGTATCGCCGAAGTAGTCGATTATTGAGTAAATATACTTTTTTACCTTGGCCTTTATATTTTCCCATTTCAGACAACGTGTCATTTCCTAGAGTATCATTTCTTCATTCAAGTTAACGGTAGCACTTTAACACAACTCAAACAAAGAATCTTATTCCCAAGAGAGTGACAGGTGGTCTGAAATAGGAAACGTTACTCCCAAGGTAGAGAGATCTATGAGCTATCTCGAGGTTGAGGAAAAACTGGTCTTGATGGCATTGCAGTACATTGTAGAAGCGTTTTAGGGGACAAAACTGACGCCATATTGGAAATATTTATCTTAAAGTCCCACAATGCACCGCAATGCCAACTCGACACAGTTTTTGTTTCAAACTTGGAATGGCTGATTGATTCCAAGTTGAAGACGTACCACTGTGCTACAAAGTCCACAAACATTGCTGAGAACTGACGACTTGGAAGACGGGGTGGGACCTGGGAAGAGAATATCGAGACTTTATATTTTCAGTAATGATTGACATTTTGGCAAAGAAAACGAAAGATCAATAAAAAAGAACATAAAAAAATCATTATATAGTCAGGATAGTGCGTGCGCTCTGGTTACTCGAAAACTGTGCATAATTAGTGAACGAAGCACGTACTGACGCCGTCTGCGCGCGCAGTGCTGCTAGATCCTGCGACCGTCTTTCTTTTGCGTAAAAAAAAAAAGTAACTAATTATATAATAAAACTATTAAAGCAGCTTTTTCCGTGCTACGTTGGATGCTTCTCCTTACACTTCTTTTGTGATTACGTCACTTCCTGCGTGCTTTATTGAACGGAGCAGGGAAACAACTGTTTTATTTGTTAAGTAGATAAAAAGCGAGAAACAAAGAAACAAACAAGGAAACGAAAGAAAAGTGGACGACAAAGAAAAAACGCAAAATGAATAAACGAACAAAACAAAAGAGAGAAAGAATGAATGAATAAAAGAATCACTTCAAGAGAAACGCCTCAACACGATTACGAATAGAGCAGTTTTCGTATGACTGTGAAAAGCTCAGTGCCGTAAGCGTGACGTGCCGTGACCGTGATACTTTCTAGAATTTTAATTGGCTGATTTTTTTCACGCGCAATATGATTGGTCTAAAAATGCCGTGATCTTGGCGTGACCGTGTCTGCGCCGTGTTCCGGGTATTTGATTGGATGGAGAGTAAATTCTCGTGCAATGTGATTTGTCTGGCGTATCCCTTGCTGTGTCACGACCGCGTTCGTGCCGTGAACTTTTCACAGTCATACGAAAACTGCACTTTATATGACGTCACGTACCTCGTGTACAATGCACTGTAATAATTCGATTGGCTGAAGAAACAAAAAGATATAAACGTAAGATATGAAGAGGGAACAGTAATGGAAATGACTATCTAGCAATTAATCCTCGAGCCTGAATGGGATATTCACTTATAAGCCATGAGGGCATGAGTCTTTTTAGTCAAATCCAACTAGTCGGTCAAACAAGTTTTGAAATAAAGTTAAATTTAATGTTTTGGTTTTTAAAGCCGGCACTTTTCGCTACTGTTAGAATATAACTCAGAGTATAAGACAGTACCGTATATTTTCCAATCATACGACAACCATTCTCATGGGAAAAAATTTCGATGTTAAGGCAGTGTCGTACCGTGTAGGTGTCGTAAGTCAGAGTACTGTATATGTTTCCCCAACCATACGATAACTGTTCTATCATTGATAAAACTGGGAAACATTTCATATTTATTTGTACCAGCTTGTCAAAAGATCCTAATTCTTTTCTAAGTTTATATAACAGTCTACAAGATTGCTCGACTCTGACTAGACAAGAGGAGTACAAATAAATTCCAAATTGTACTCCGTAGAGTCCCAATTAAGTTGCTCAATTTTTGGAGTGTATTATATACAAAAAAATCGCACAATCTCGTACAATTCGGAATTGTTGGAAATAATTGTTGGTGGTGACTGACGTTTCGACAACCTGAGCGGAATCATCTTTAGAGTCCAGTGAGAAAACGAGAAAACGCTTTCTCACTGGACTCTGAAGACAAATTTCAACACATGGATTCAAACCATTTACTCTTATAACTTGATATTATACGCGACATGAGGTTGATAGTAAATTTATAATTGCAAAAAAATATCTCCAGCCTTACCAACAAGTTATCAACTCTCTCAGGATAGTCCTGAAACGATAATTAATGATGCACTTTGAATTAGATATCGTCGTGAATCGAAAATATGTAAGTTCCAGATACTAAATTAATATATAATGTGACATTTTACCAGTGTAAACAACAACTACAGCAACAACTACAACGAAAACAAAAAACCAAAAAAACAATGAAAGAAAAGGAAACGAAAGGGATGGGAGTTATCAGCCTCTGCATCAGAAGAGATAACTAGCTAAAAACTAGTGTGAGCTGCGTCGGTGTTTCTAATGAAACAGTAATGATAAAAGGGTAAATTTTACGCGGTGAAAAGTTGAAAGAACTTCTCACGATGTAAAATTTACCATTTTATCATTACAGCCTCTGCATTAGTTTACAATGAGAACAATCGAATTGTCAACACTTTTTTTTTTTTGAGTTTTGCTTTGTTTTGTTTTTTGTTTCTTTTTTGAATGGTACAATGTTATTATAAATTCATTGAACTTGCCACTGTTTCAAACAAAACTTTTTTTAATCGATTGGCCCAAAGGATGATTACAGTATGTAATAAACAAAAACCCTAAAAGTGTCCTGGATGTTCGGGTGTCCTCATTGTAATCCATAGAATCCAGTATGTAGATGCATGTATGTATAATGTTATTTCGATATCGCTGTTATTTGATCATGTGTTACCTTGAGATAAGGGAATCTTCCAATAGCCATCTGAAAACATATCACCCAAAGGGTTAATATTTAACAACAATATGTCAAAACGGAGGGGGAACAACAGGGGGAGAGACAAAAGAAAAGAGAAGAGAAAAGAGAAAAGAGAAAAGAGAAAAGAGAAAAGAAAAAATGACCAAGAGAAAAAAGAAAAAAAGACTAAAAAACCGAAAGGGGTAAAGCACAAAGGAAGAAAGGATGGAAGAAAAGGAAATAAAAAGAGTGTAAAAAATAGAAATAAGACACAAAAAGAGAAAGGAAGAAAGGGAAGAAGAGTTAGTAACCGAAAAAAATAGAATCCTTTTGATTTACCTCAAACAGAGATACTCCTAGACTCCACACCTCTGAGCGTATACTGTACTCATCCCCAAGCACACGCTCTGGCTGAAAATAATAACACAAAAAAGGTTATCCTTAGTTAAGCCTATAATGTGTGTGTATGATGGACATTTTACTCCCACTATTAGAATCCCTCGCACACTTTCTTGTGTTCAGTTAATTAGCACCAATTGTCTTATTATTCTCATGAGGGAATACAAATTTAAATAAGCAAGAAAATTCGCGAAGCATCTTCGTAGTGGTAGTCAAATGACGCCATCATGCAAACGTCCTATTGGTGCCCAATAACTTAACTACAACAAAAGTGGTAGTCTACACTTGTTTCAAAGCGCGTTGTCAATCTGAGATTTGAAATGGGCGATCTGAGACTAAACATAATTTTTGTGCTTTACATTTTACGGAACATTACTTTTCAAACTCAAAAGTCATGTGCAGTGGCGGATCCAGGGGGGGTTCGAAGGGTTCCACGGAACCCCCCTTGAAGGTTTGATCTTTTAGGTAATAGAAATATGTCTTATATAAATTTTGCTTAAAAGCATCCACAAGGATAATGTTGAACACGAAATGATAGATATTTGCTGTTATAATGTTTAATTTACCTTTACGTTCCGTTACTAGATAGTAAATTAGGTGATTAGAGCCAATTTTTTTGTCAGACATCAACTAAACAAAAGCGAATTATACCCAGTTTAAGAAACGGAACCCCCCTTTGAAAAATCCTGGATCCGCCACTGATGTGATGGTGCAAAAAAGACTAAGCTTTGATAACACTACTTACTGCCATATATGCATTTGTTCCAACATATGTTGTGGCTACAGAATTTACAAGCTGTAGATATTGAAGAAAATTAAATTCAAAACATTAGTAATAATGAAAATGGGAAGCATGGGTGCTTTAGCGATGACAGCAGTTGCCTCTAACCAATGCCATCCTCAATCAAATCTTCTTTTACTCCGACAAAGGACTAGCGTCAGAAACGTCAGTAAGTTTTTTCATCTTCTCACGGTGTATAATTTACCTTTTTATCATTACTGTTTCATTAGAAACACCGACACAGTTCACACTAGTTTTTAGCAAGTTATCTCTTCAAATTCTGACTCAGTGTTGTATGTGAGTAGAGATGGTTGTAAGTAGTTTCTTTTGCTTTGGGGGTTTTCTGGTTTTCCTCCCTCTGCAAAAACCAACTTCTGACTTCCAATTGAAATTCAGTGGAAGAAGAGCCACACTGTAGAACTACTGTTGAATTCCCATAAATTATCTAATGTAAGTTGATTGATGAACTGATGAATGAAACGAATGAATGAATTAACCTATGCCCAGTTAGCTAAGTTGGTAATGCCTTGGTCTGTTGTGCAGAAGGTTCTGGTTCAAGCCTCAGCCGTACTCAGGGTCTTAAAATAACTGAGGAGAAGGTGCTGCCTAATTTAAAATTAATGGTAAGACCTTGATGTGGCTTGGATGACCATGTTAATGGCAGTCCAGTTCCTAATCAACTAGAAACATCGAAAGAGCACCTGTACTAGTTTATCAGTTGAATTACTGTTTTAACTTAAAAGTGTCATCCTCTATAAAAAACAAGTGAACGATGAAAAAAGGAGAAGTAAAATGATTTGCCCTCACCTGCCTACTCACACCAAAATCACATAATTTGACTTGTCCCTGAGTGTTGACAAGAAAATTAGATGGCTTGACATCTGGATGGAAAATATTAATAAATGTTTTAATTACAATTTGAACTGAGATGAAAAAAAAAGACAGAGGGCAGTTTTTCCCTATCCAAACCAACTTTGGGCTGGAATATGACTTTTTTAAAATTTGTTTAGCCATGGTTTTGTTTTTTAACAATATTTTGCCCCCATGCTTGCTTATGGATCACATAAGCCTTTTGTCAGGATACCCGAATATGGGCAGAGAGATCAAAACTACTGCCCCCTCATGCAGGCAATCAGTATTGTATGATTTTTATGATACCGGACTAGAATAAAAAAGTAACTATGTTAACTTTATTAAATTGACACGCTAAGGGCATTGGACTATATGCCGCTGATAGTTGCAATATTTGTTTGCACAATACCAACCTCTATGCATTATCTTTTGATCCCACAAATATGCCAGACCTTTCACAACCTGGGGGAAAAAACAAAGTCAGGAAATATGCAAAACAAGAAGTTAATACCTCACAGTTCTCCAGCGTTGTCTGTACAAATATATAATGTAAAATTGACTTTAAATATTGTGAACCAAATAGTGATATGGTACATTACAGTATATCTAGTGAGGTGAACAATTGCCCTAATTCACTATAACGTCACATCAAAACAATCTTCAACAATCTATTGTTTAAAAGCAATTATAGGATCATGGTCGTAGGATGGGGTCAAATCAATGCTGATTCTCCGAAAATTGTTCTAAAACCTGTATAAATCCACGAAGAGAAGTAGAATAGCCAGCAAACCCTCAGGATATTTTTTAGTACATATTAACGCATATTAAATCTGAAAACTAGGCCATTTTAGATTAAACTGTTTCACTAGGAGCAAATTTTGTTGAATTTTCTATTGGATTTGGTGATTCTATCCCCCTCATAAACAAGCAGTGATGTCATAGTGAATTAGGGCAATAATTGGACAAAGTGCATTAATGTTACTGTCTTTGATCAGTTTTAAGATACTAGAATTGCAAGTTAAATACACCTGTTATAGTACTTACTCAAATGCAAGAATAAGGAGAAGCTATTTCTATGCATATGCAGGGGATATTACAAAACTTAAATAGAGACTAGTGGAAATGAAAATCAGGTCAAAGGAATTGAATCAAAGAAGCAATTATCTTTGTCAAAGGTGCTTACTTACAGATACAGCAATTCTTCCAAGAACTGGTTCAGGTATTTTACCATAATTTTCTAATGATCCACCTGATTTGAAGTATAACAGAATGATATAATGTTATAATAATAATGATGAGAATAATAATGGGATTAACAGAGGATTCCATAGAGTGGCTCTTCTTCCGCTGGATTCCAATTGGAATTTAGAAGTTGATTTTTACAGAGGGAGGAAAATTGGAAAAAAACCTTTGAAGCACAAATAACTCTACTCACACATGGCTTCAAGCCTGCGAAAATTTCTGATAAATGCACTAAATTTTGATGTATGTTAGGAGTTGCAGGGACTTGGCTGCAACCCATTGCTATAAAATCTCCAATGAAATTGCTGCTCACATTGCACAACAAAATGTATTGTTAGTATAAATGGGCCTTAGTTAATGAATTAGTTTCATTGGTGAATCAATCATTCATAAAATGTTTTTTAACTTACCATCCATATATTCTGTACACATTGATATTCTGGAAAAATTACAAATGACAGGAAAATGTGAAAGGCCAATTTTGAAGGATTGAAAAAATGGGAAGAATTGTAAGATTATGAAAAGCGAGAGAAGAAATCATACCTATTTTCAATAAAAAAGGCACCATAAAATTCTATAATGTAAGGTGAAGAGCACTGAAAAATATAGAAAGAGAAGTTAAATGAAGTAATTTTGAAATGATGAAAACGTTTAGTTCGTTAAACCCGGTCCGTTCTATCTACCAATCAATCAATCACTCACCTGAAACAAAATCTCCATCTCAGAGATGATCTGTTTTTGTACTTCTTTTGTTACATCAAGTGGAATTACCTGGATACATTATTATAATAATGATAATAATTTATAATGATCAGATGACTATGACTTCTAATAAAAAAAAATTTTTTTTGGTGGAATTCATATTTTTTTAAAAATCCCAAGTTTGTTATAATATCATTAATCAAATCAGATTTGTAACTTTCTTACCACGTCAGGCTCAATATGTTTTTACGAAAAATTCTAGGTGTCATAGGCATTAAAGTAATACCGCATGGTCCCATTAAATAAGTTACACAAAGCAATTCATGTAGTAGCTGGCTGTGATGCGCATGACAGTTATGAGGAAAAATCATACCGTGTCAATCGGCCTTTTAAATTAACCAATCTGTTACCTAATTCTTATTTACAAAATCACACCATATCATATATTTTACTGAATCACTAACCTTGACAGCAAGAACTTTGTTGCTACTCAGATCTATGGCCCTTGAAGAAAAACATTGAGCAAATTTAACAAAAAAAAAAATGCTATTTTGCAGCTATGATGCCAAACTGGGTCCAGTTTGCATTGCAAAGCATTGTTGTATTTTGTCCTCTCCAATGCCAATTTTACAACTTACAAATTTCTCGCGCATCATTTTTTATCATCAATAAGAGGACAAACAGATAAAGCTGACGTCAACGAGCGCACAGTCTTTCAGTTTGTTGTTTTCATCAGTAAAAATGAGAAGTTTTTATTGTTTTTTTATTGTAAAAAACTAATTGGCATCAGTTTTTTTATGTATATATCTGTCCTCTTATTGACAATAAATTTCATCATCACACTCAGTGATTGTCAAAGTAGTATGCAGATCCACTTGGCCACACCTCATGGATAGATCTACACTACTTTGACAATGTGATGATGCAATTCATCATCAATAAGAGGACAGTCACATAAAAAACTGATGTCAATTTGTTAACTTGACACAGTTTTTTCTCACTCAGAGTGGATAATATATGCCGTAGATTACAGCTGCAACATCTTAATAAGTAATGCAATTGGTGTGTATGATTGTGCAGTATCCATTTAATATAATTACCTATAAACTGTCCCCCCATTTCCATAGCCAAGGATTTCTAGATGTTGAATTTGGTCAGGATTTACCTAAAATTTATAAAGAGGTCAAACTATGAGTAAGAATGATCTACAGTATGTCATTTTTAATAGTTACTGTGAGAGTATTAGCTAATATTTCAGTGTTTGAGAAAAGAGACTAGGTCAAGTTGGCATTGCAGTGCATAAGATCGAGAGACATGTGGGACATGGGACATATTTCCAAGATATATAGCATCTACGTAATTGTATTTCATCCCATAAAACAGTCCCACATGGAACTACTGCCATAATGCCAACTTGATCCAGCTTTTAATTCTCGGCCTCAGAGTACAGGTGTACATTGGCTAATACTTAAATGTTTATAAAGTACTCCTTATTGCTTTGAAGCATTTTCTTGACAGAATAGAAATCACTTCATACAAACATTACATTATCAAAGAGAATAATTCATGAAAACTTACCTGGCCACTTGCAAGAATGCTTGAAATGTTGCCTCCTTCTTTTTTGGTGGTGGGAACCCTGTGGTAAGTAAAAAATGCTAATGATTTATAGACATGAAGCAATCTGATTGGATCCCTGGGCATGCAGTTGGAAAACTGTAGCCTGAAATGTCCTTCCAATAGACCTCCTCGGCTCTGGAGCACTTGTCCCATTTCATACCATGTGTCATTCCCTTGAGAATAATATTCTTTGTTTGAGTTGTATCCATGTGTCTTCTCATGAGCAACCGAGCGCAAAACTTAAACAAAGAAATGATACTCTAGGAAATGACACATGGTCTGAAATGGGAAAACATTATGTCAGAGCCGAGGAGGTCTATTTGTACTTCAATATAAAAAAAATTATTGACAGTTGCCATTATACTGCTTCACAGCCACTATTAGTGTTGTAGGTGCTTAGAGGGGTAACAACACCAATAGCAGCTGCTGTAGCAGACTAAGTGGCAGTGTACAAGAATATGAATATTACCCAGATGCATCAGCTACAGGAGGTTGAATTGTGGAATTTGTACTCATAGGAGCTGGCATGCATGTTGAGTTGGCTGATGGTGCTGCAGCGACACGGGTGTTGACCTGTGGTTTAACACTGTTAGTCTTGCTTTCAACAAGTATTACAATTATTACCTATAGTACTTATATATAATTTATTTATAAATATATGGCCAACATTGAATTACATGTACTTACTGTCAGACCACATATATTTCTTTTTCTTGATGATCTACCAGCTTTGATCACAAAAGTATCAGTTATTGAATGAATGAACAAAGAGCAGGGGAATGAATGAAGAGTGAATAAATGAGACAAAAAAGAGAAAACTAGAGTGATGTGAAGGAAAGGTATTTTCAGTGGTAATAAGAAGGAAGGATGGGTGGGAGGAAGGGAGGGAATATCAGAGAGGAAGGAAGGAAGAAAGGGAGGCATGGTTGAAGAAATGGAGGGAAGGACTGAGGAAGGAAGGTAGAAAGGTTGGGAGGAAGGAAGGAAATAAGAAAGGGTGGGAAGGAGAGAGGGAGGGTTGAGAAAGGAAGTAAACAAAGACAAAACATTGTCGTAATCCTTACCTCTGGGAAATATAGCAATTGGTTCTAGTGCCACACCCTGTTTGATCTTTTCTGAATTTAGCCAGAAGAACTTTTAAATGAATCAATGATACAATGTATTAACTTGAAAGTATTATATTTAAATGCAGATACCATGGAGTACAATGATGGGAGAGTGGTTGCTTGGATTTCAAAATTGCAGTTCACTTGACATTATACTCAGCAATCAAACTAAAATAAGTGTTGAATTCTTTGATTGACACAGTAGTCTGTGACTACTTGTAGTAACTATTCCAGGGCTCTTGAAAATCAAGGGCTTTTCAAGGAGTATTTAAGGAAGAAAAATTGAATTTTCAAGGACATTCAAACCTCACAGTGTTGGCAGAATATTTTTACTTTTCAAGGAGTATTTCAAGGACTTTTCAATGATTTTAAATTTATTTTCCATGAGCTTTAAGCACCTTTGAAATTGTATCATCAACTCAAGGGCATTTCAAGGACTTACTCACTCTGGACTGATGAAAATTAGAACTCACTAGTCTATAGGCTCAAGGGATTTTTAATTACTAAAGGTCTGGGCTAGATGACAAACTTTAAAAGAAAAACCATTTATGTGGTCACTGATTAGTTTCATTCAGACTAAAACAATTAAACCTTTTTCTATCACTCTCTTAGTCTACAAGTCAATAGTCCAATCTGCCTTTGGCCTTATCGGCTATTAACTGACTCGTACACTATATAGGCTTCCAGACTAATTATTAAACAGATTTGCTAGCCTATTGCCTAGTAATTGTAAAAGTTTTGCAAGGCAATAAGTTTTGCTTACCACTCTTTTCATTGGTATGTGCTTATTGAGACAACAGTGGCGACAAAGAAATTGGGCAATATACTTCAATTCACTTCAACCAAATAAATTGGTTGGTACCATTATATTATCTGATTGGCGGCAGTGTATTGCCCTGTTTCCCTGTTGCTACTGTTGTCGCGATCAGCACGTAGCAGTGAAAAGAGTGGTAAAAATGGATGGTTTTTTACCCCATTTATCATTGTTTGCAGCTCCTCATCACTCCTAACAGTAATGCGATCTTTTTCTTCATCTTCATCTATATTATTTTAAAAAAAAAATACTCTGTTGAAATAATGCATTGATGGCATACATCCCTTTCCATGAGATTAACAGGACAAAAGACATAGGAAATGTTGGGGCTTTTGACATGACTCAAACTGGAACTAATTATACCATATAAAGAGAAAGAGAGTCATATAGATTTGTGTCCAGACAATTTTAAAAACAGATGAGATTTTTTTGATTATCCATTACAGTGGATATTATAATAACCTGGAGATATTAATATAAATCTAGACTGAGTATTCTGCACCACAGGTAACCCATACACAGAAATGCCATCACATTAGGGTGAACCATTGAAAAATGAATGTTTACTGATGTGGATGAAGTACCTTTCTTGTCTAAATAATGAAATTGTTTGGACACAAATCTAGCTTGCCTGATATATTATGATAAAATTATGTCGTATGCACAATAGGAAATTATACAGAAAATACTAAGGTTTGCTTACAGTCAAAAGAGGTCACAGTTACAGATGGCATAACTTGAGAAACAGCTTCCTATACAAACACATCAATAAATAAATATCAGATGTGAATGGAATTAAAGTTTATCGTCTAAAATTCCTAATATTTTTTGTAAGCTTAAATAAACTGTACGGATTTTTTACAAAAAAGTACAATAACTGAACCTTTTCATACAAAGGCGATAACAAAAAAAGTAACCGAAATAATGAGAATATTAAACTTAATGGCAGCTTTTAGAGCGTTAAAAAATCTAAGCTTGCTTCTAAAAAATATGTATAAAATTCCACACCCAAATTAATCAAATGTTTGGTAGATTAAACATGTAGATTAAGAGTTGAGCTTCTTAGTGCCCTCGAATAAAAGAAACATTTGTTAGTTAAATTGTTGGACAAACAGTAAGCTTAATTAAAATTGGGTTCTTCACATACCAAAACATCACGAAATTGGATTCCTGTAGGAACTGTCCAGTCTACGGCAGCGCCATCTTCTGGAACAATCCGAATAACTAGAGGAGGCGAAAATGTCATATATACATTTAGAGTGAGCGAGATAATCAGTGTCCATTCAGTCACGGAAATTTGAGAATATTTGAACTCAAGTTAAACTTCCGCCATCTTGTCCGCCATCTTAAGAATGCTCCGCTGTCGTGAGGGACTAGGAAGGGGTAACAAAAATTCCCGAGTGCTACCCCCTAGAGAACCTTTAAAATTTTATTCTATCCTTTATTTATTTATTTATGCTATTTTTTTAGGCTTATCTAAGCAGGAAACACTAACTCTCAGATCGAATTAGAATTATTCCGCATTGTATACACCTCCCTAGAATGTTTGTTATCACAGGGATCCCATAGGTCATGTTTGTTTTAAAGGTTTAAACGCAAAGTCTTTTGGGTAGAGTGAAGGGAGCTTTAGATCTGCAAAGGAACAGTACTGTATTTTGAAAATTATTGTAAGTAATCTCTCGGCTCCTCTTAGGGTAATTTTATGTTATTAATATTCAAAAGCTACTGCTTTTTTATTCCTGCTCTGTTTACAGCAATGTCTTGTTGGATTTTACATACACTTTGTTACGTAACGAGTTGACTTCTAGACCTTCAACCCTCTTCAAAAATTACATCTCGCATGGATTGCATGATTTAGTTTGTAGCTATCTTTTGCTAGTTTCTGGAACTGCAAATTTCATCATTATATTCTAATAATCTTCTAGTTTTAAAAACAGAGAGCAAAGATGCCTCTCCCTAACTGGGCCATTATCGCTGGTGCTTGTATTTTACCCAATGTTGGAGGATGGGCTGGTGGTTTTGTCACAAGGTCTCAAATAAAGAGCTGGTATGAAGGTAATAACATTGATACCTATTTATAAAATAAGTGTTATAAATCTTGTGTTCTGATTGGTTGGGAGCGTGTGCTTCATGAATGCACATGCAGCACACGCACACACTTATAGTCGTGCTTCTCCTAACACTTCTCTCAAGTTCTGCCGAACCCTGTGTGCTTTATGACTGCACACAACATGTTCATGCGTTTTCTATTTCTTCATTAATTTAAGCTTGCGTTTTTTACTTCCTGGGTATTATTTATTCTTCAAAGGGGTAGAGTACCGCCACCCCCCCCCCCCCGTCCAACCACACCCACCCACACAAACACACATGATACATAAAGAGGGGTTTCATTGAAAACATATTCTTTCAACTTTAATTCCAATTTTAACTAAACTTTATGAGTATTTTGATTTTGGAATAATTGATTGAGTTTTCTGTTTACTCCTGGCATAAAACTAATCAAACATTCAGTGTGTAAACTCAATCTAGCTCGAATCGTTTGATAACTTTAACTGTGTTGGGCAATGGCACAATGTTGGATTGCCAAACCAATGATTGAGGGATTAAAGTTCAGCAGAGTCTAGTCAAATTTTTGTTCAGTAATCTGTTCGATTAGTTATATGCCTGTAATTTTATTGTATAGTGTTAAAGAAGCCGTCTTGGCGTCCACCAAACTGGGCATTTGGGCCAGTATGGACCACACTGTACACTAGCATGGGTTATGCGTCATATTTGGTGTGGAGTGAGGGAGGTGGATTCAATGAGACAACCAAGATTCCTTTGATGTTGTATGGAGCACAGCTTGCTCTCAATTGGGCATGGACACCTATCTTCTTTGGCAGTCATAAACTAGGAGCAGTAAGTTTGACATCCTAAATTATATGCCTAAGATTCTGCAATATGGTAGGTTAAAGCTGTTTCACTTCTACAATGCAGGCCTTTTGTTTTACATATATACTAGAACAATGTACTCATCAGGCAAAAAATCCTTTTCAGGTAACCCATTGACCACCAATGATTAATGCTTTTAGTGTTTTTATGTATTGTTGTAGTGTACTGTACATGACAAGTGTGCATACATAAGATCAGGCATTGAGAATATAGTGTTTAACAGTTTAGTCAAATATGTTTAAATAAAAATTTAAAAAAAGTGACATCTCTTTCTCTAATTGTTACAATTATTAGATGTTAATGATGATGATAATAATAATAATAATGATAATAATAATGAAAATAATAATAGGCGGGGTTGAACTTGATGAATAATAATAATAATTTATGATAATAATAATACCATCATATATCTTAACGATAATCCCAATAATATATTTTCCTTTAGGCTCTTGTGGAGATAACATTCTTATGGGCTGGTGTTGCAGGCTGCATCTATACATTTTACCCAATCAGTAAGCTTGCTGCAGGTCTTTTGGTGCCATACTTAAGTTGGGTTTCCTTGGCAACAGCACTCAACTACTCCATCTGGCAGATGAACAAGCCAGCGATAAAAGAGGAGTAAAATAATAGTCCTTTCAGCTGGCTAGTAGAAAACCTTAATTAGATATACCGACTTTTAAGTTTAAAAAGAATTAAAATTGATGATGTCTGATTATGAAAAAATGTAGGTGTAGCACGTAGGTGATGGTAGATGTAAGGAGTTTTTACTAGAGCAGATTTCATATGGCCATGAAAACTCATATGTACTGCAGCAATTCTCATTATTCTGCAAACTTGTCAGTAGCTGCGGGCTACAAGCTGAAATTTGGTTTTTAGGTGGCGTCAATCAAAAATACTCAGTCATTACCTTTTATAAATAAATCCTAAAAAAAACAATATTTCACAACAAGCCATTGAATCGCAGTAATACAGGTTTACCGGTGTTTGCATTGCTATGCCGCCACCCCAGACAAAAATTGTGACATGCACTTTGCAATAGACTTCTGTCAATCAAACACGTTGACATCATTTACACGCGTTTGGATTGGCCCGGATAGGCCCGGTGAGTGTGTCTCATAATACTCGTAAACAATCGACCAAAGTTTTGGCACCTTTTTAATCACGCGTGTAAATGGCGTCAACGTGTTTGATTGAAGGCAGTCCATTGCGAAGTGCACGTCACGATTTTTGTCTGGGGTGGCCGCGTAGCAATGCAAACGCAGGTAACATGCCATATGTCTGTGATACTGAGCACTACATGTATGTTTTAACATATTAGATTATGTTGTGATCAAGGGATGTCATACCATGACAGTACAATCTGACATGCTGTTTCCTGGTCTTTGAAATATGTTCATTCTGACTAAGCCAGAAAGTGTTACTTATTTATCAGAGCATTCTTTCATCCCTGACTCAATGAAACCCCTAGCCAGCATGCAGCCAGACTTTTCTCTCGTGCAGTTACGTTTGTCTGCACTCAGGCTATGAAATCCCCGAATACCTTTGCAGATTGTTGTACATGTAGAATGATAATTTATTCAATAATAAAGTAGATATTACTAAAGGAATTTTCAAAAATTGATGTCTTGACTGTATTTTTTACCAATGGTAACTTATTTTATTACTGCATTAAAAAAAAAAAAAACTTTACAGTGATAAATAGCTCAATACAAAAGCTTACAAAATACCTTGACCACAAGGCCTCCCCCCACAATATTATTTTACAAAACTGCACGACCTAAAATACAGAAAATATGGTATTGGTGGTCAAGTAGTAAATCTTTAGAAAATATTTCTTTATTCCAAAATACTTTTGTTTTATTTCTGTTGCATTCATTTGTGCAAATGTTTTATTGAATTCAAATTTCCTTATGGGTGGGGCGGAGGGTGTAGTGCTATGGCCGAATCTTATCTATTCATTACTTAGTCTCGCCTAAAACACATGAATGTAGTCCTACTTCTTGCATACCCTGTCGGTTGAGGGGGTCACAGGTATGCAAGGACCCTCTGTCCATGCCCCTTTAGTATATAACACCTAACTCTCTCATATTTTATTCCATTGCAATCATTAATGGACAGGGATTGTCACGGGACTGTGAAGTGGTTGTGCGAGCACATGTTGATGGATATGAATGAATAATGGTATGTATGTCAAGAAGTCTAAGAAATCAAGGTACGTGGTAGTTGGACCCAGGCTCCTGAGGAGGTGGCTCTTAGTTTTAGGGTCCAGGCCCCCTACAGTCAGCTCTAAAGTCAGAAGTTCCATTGACATTTGTCCAGTTTTCTCATCAGCATAACATTTGTACAAGGACTGAAATACAAAGTGAGACATGAAACAGTATAATTTATATTTTAGTGTTTAACAAATTCATTACTTTATTATGAACCAACATGCATCTCATGAGCATCAAATTTAAGGGAGAATTTGCATGGATGTACATTTAGTTTCTATGTGCAGCTCAACAGAGAGGACAAGGTAGTTGTCTTGGCAATATAGTGTTATCAAGGGGTAGTTTTATGAGGGTGGATCCAAGGAGCTTTGAGTTGTGTGTGTTGGTCATAGAGGTTTATCTCATTAGCACAGATGTTTTCCACCCCCCCTCCTTTTCTTTGATTCCTGGATTTGCATTTGATTAACACAATGCATAATTCATAATATTCATAGTTTAATCACATATCACAAAAAATGATTTACAATGACAAGTAGCAAATTTTTTTACAAAATTTATTAAGATACTATTCTAGCATAAGGAGCTTCAGCCTTGAAAAAAATTGATATGCTAATTGGCTGAGGGTAGATTGAATCGACCTTCAGCCAAATAGTATTAGCAATGCGAAATCAAATATCGACATCTTGAGTATGAGTCAGAAGTCATATTATGGGTTCAAACTAAGCCAACCTCTCACAATAGAGTTGAGGTGTCTCAGATAGGCTTGATGAGCATGGGACTAAACCTGCCCCTAATTAAGACGACTAAGAAACCAAAGAATAACAACGAGATATAAAAAAGTTTATTTTGCTTTACCTTTGCACGTTGAAGTTTGTAATCTAGTTCTCTAAAATCCAGCTTAGAGATCATAATCTTCGCATAATCACTATAAGACAAATTAATGAAAGGCTTAATTAGTAATCAAACTTGTTTAGAGTTAAAATTTAGAAAACAAAGAAGCTATAGGTGCAAAGAGCTTGCACCAGCTACCATCTACATAGAGATACATCTTACTACTTACTCTAGAGCAGCAATCTTTTGAGAAAATGCAGCAACGACAGAAAAAAACTTGAAGTCTGCTCCACTGTCAAGGCTACAGTCACACAACTCAAGAGCCTAAAAGAATCCACATATATATAGATAGTTATAAAATATTTTAGTTATGATGCGTGAGCTGATTGGCTACATGTAGCTACCATGCTTATATCAGAGGACAGAGACACGCTCATGCAAAATTGTTCTAAAATATTTCATAAGAGCAACATAAAGCGGCTGTTTATGTCTCTGTACTGTGATGTAAACACTTTGGGAGTTGTAGAGCACTCAAAATGCAAGAGAAACGCGTTCGGCTGCGCCTTGTTTTCCTAAGCTTGCTCATAATCTCGTGCTCTAAAGCTTGAGCTCCCAGCATATTTATATCGCATTACAGCGATATGTGCGTGTTTCATATTCCTTAAATATACATACTGCTTTAGAGACGCATAAACATGGCAAAACAGTATATGTGATGTCAGGGACGGGAGAAACAATAGGCCTTTTGCAGTTAGCGGTCACGTGTCTGTACTGGAGAGCATTTTTTTGAAATTGGTGATCCTTTTTAGCTACTTGTACAAAAAAAAATGAATGAAAAGATGTGTAACCAGTGTGTTACGAAATTCAGTTTTATTACGATCTCTCGAAACAGGTCGTAGAAAGTGTGTTTGCTCTCCAGTAAATTTCACCCATGGGAATCAAAATGATCATTCATTTGCTCTCAGGGAATTAGCACGTGATTACTGAGCTGCAAAGGGCCTATTCAAGGGCAACTAGTAAAATGGGGTTTTTATTCACCACAGTTCGCACCATTAGAAAGAGACAAATTAACTGTGACAAGTCAGAGGGATATAAAGTTCATTTATTGTAATACTTTTACTACCATAGAAAAAAAAGAAAAAACGCAGAACGATTATTACAAGGGCGGAAAACAACACAAATTCATCAATGAATGTTCCGTTGATAATAGTGATACCATAGATCTTACCCTGTAGATATATTTCAAGTGTGAATCATTCAGTAAGTTTTTATTGACACATTCTAAAGCTTCCAGAATCTCTTCAGGGAAAAGAAATTCATCTTTATCCTCATCAAACTAGAAAAGAAAATCAATCATTAAATGGTTGTGCATGGACGAGGAAAAGTGAGAATGAAATACTTCTTGATTGTATAATGCAGAATCCGTGCGCATGCTAATAAAACTTTGCAGCTTCGTAACTTGCCTACATTTAAATTAAGGAGTTTGAGAATAAAAAGTGGGTCTCTAGTGTGATATATAGGTGGCACATTTAACAATAATTAGCCATGTATAAGATGTAAAGAAACTTACACTTTCAAAGATTCTTTGATAGTAGCCTAACTGACTCTCATTGATGATGCAGTACTTGAATATGAATGAGTCTGAAAGTAAAAAAAAGTCACTCCGTTGTGACCACTTGTCGGGCAAGACCTTTGTGAATAGACGAAGGCAAAGGGCTTGGGGTTGGGATGAATGGAATATGAATAAAATAATATTAGGATTACAGCTTTATTTTAAGCAAAAAATAGTAGTGTTTGTGGGTTCGATCCGAGGACTCGACATCCAATGTAAGTAGAGTTTTTTGTTTCTTTCTCCTTTGCTTCAAGGGTTGTCCTGGGGTTCTTCGGTTTCCTCCCTCCGCGAAAATCAACTTCTAAATTCTAATTCGATCACGAAACGAGGGCCACGGGTTTGTGTAATCACTGGAGATCATAGTGCTGCCTTTGTAAAACAAGCACAACTTAATCGTTCAGTCGTAAAATTTCATTTTCCATTTCAAAGGCTACGCGTCGTTCCCGTAATAAATATCCGATTTCATTCATTTATCATTGCTAGCCTCCTAGGAGACCGTGATCCTCGGCTAAGTTGGGAATTCAAAACATTACGCCTAAACAAACCGCAACAACTACTTACCATCGTCAATACCAAACGTTTTCATATCAGTCGAAGAAGAAGAATGGATTAATGCTTTGTTCTTTCCCGTTAAGCTCAAGAGCTTCTTCTTTCTTTCCTCAGCCAGCTGTTGGCGCAGCATTTCTTCTCGTATGCTGTTGTCTGCGCGCGCTCGTGCAAGCTTCTTTTTCTCTTCCTCGCTGGGAGAAATCGCCTGTGGCAAGAACATTTGGAATCTCTTCTTCATCGATGGTGGTCTAACGTCAACTGTATAACAAGATAACATTTTTGATTAAATTTATTTAGTATAATTTTAGGCTTGAATATAGAGTTTCTCGCGCTGTGATTGGTCGAGCGACCAGTGATTATCAGACGATAGTCACTGCTCAAGCGCTGATTATGAGGTTTTCCAAAGTTTGCTGGAGTCAAGTTATGCTAAACGAATTTCGACTTTTCTCTGATATTCAAGTCTAAAATTATACTAAAACAAGTATTTCTTTCAGGCTCAGTGATCATGGTGAGAGACTCGCGGCTCGTTAAATATTTCACCGATAATCACTTCGCCTTCGGCGAATAACTGTTAATTATTACCTGAAACAAAAAGATCTATATTTGAAAGGTCTACATATCTATTTGGGTGATTTAGCAATCTAATGGTCCTTGTCTAAGTTTTTAGCTGCGCTAGTTAAAGAAATCAATGCCAAACAACAAAGCTGCACCTGCTTTTGATAACACAAGTCGGCTTTGCGGTATACGTAAATCAAATGTGCCAGTTTGCATCGCAGGGGAACAAACATTTTTAGAGGGAACAACACTACCTATGGAATATCATGGAAAATTTTTTATTGGCGTTCATCAAAACCCTGCTACCTTTGAAAATGGCGGGAATTTTTTACTATTTACGGGCGCGGTCTCGCCACAAGCGTTAATCACCAGTCGTATACATCTTTTCCTTGTTTTCTCTTTTTTTTCACTGCTTAATCTTGAAAGTTTACTAAAAAAAACTCACTTGGTTGTTTTTGAATTTCTGGCAGGGGTGGTGTGGGGATACGGTAAGGTTCTTCCGGTTCTGGTTCTTCCTCCTGTTCTTCTGGTTCAGGTTCCGGTTCTTCTTCCACTTCCGGTAGAGCGTCCATTAAACTTGTTATTTCTGGTAATTTAACTTTCTTTTTCTTTGGGGGTTTCTTCTTCTTCTTTTCTTTTTTCTCGGCTTTTGGCTTCTTGGTTTTGTGTTTCACCTTTGGCGTTTTCTGGTAACGAAAGCGAAAAAGATATTCATTGAAAATTACAGAGAAACTTGTTAGGCCTACTAAACAAATTATTTAACGCTACTGTAGCGAGACGAGTTAAAAACGTCTGCGTATGCTCTAAATCCGTAAGCAAATTAGTCGAAACGTCTTCAGGAAATACCAAAAATTTGGTGCCCATGCTTGAAACTTAAGGCTAATTTTTCATATTGTGTAAAGTATCTTGGTCTCACAAAAGTATATTCGCGATTTTTTTTTGTACACTCCGAGAAAACAAACATTTATTTTCTCACTTACATGTAAACTTACAGCGCAGATGAACATCTTGCGCTAATCTTCGCTTTATAAATGTAATTTATTATTTATTTATTAACTCTTCTAAATTCTTTAAAAAAAGTGCGAACTTTTTTGTATACTCGGAGAAAACAAACATTTATTTTCTCACTTAAAAAAACTTGCTAAATGCACGCATGCGCGAACGTTTTTCTCTAGTGTCTACTTTAGCTTACCCTTGATCCTTGTACATTTAAAAAAGGCGAACATAACCTAACTTCAGCATCTGCAAAAAAGACAAAAATTGGACGTTTATTTCATACAAAATGTTAATTAATATCAACCATCTTTTTTTCCATTTGGCTTGCGAAATTTTAAAACTGCGCATGCGCAAATCGCAAGTAAATTACGTAAATCAATCTCATTTACACTGCATTTTTGCCTGGTCAGTGCCTATAGATCACATTAAATTCCAGCCCATTTTTATGCAAACATTCCGTGCGGCCGTCTGCTTTTGCTGCCATAAATCGCCGCACCGTTTTCTTGTCTTTCACTTATCCACAACGTGTGTATTAACAAAAAACTTTTTAACTGATGATTTCATACGGATGTACACCTACCTTCAACTTCCTCTTCCGAGGGTAATTCAGCTATTGATCCAATGGTTTCCTCTTCCCACCCCTCCAGGGGGGTCATTCTGTCAGGACTGCACTTGAGTTGTTCAACCTCGGAAACGTCTTCGTCCACTTCAAATATTGGCGAGGGGGTTTTGGTAACTGGTGACGGCAGCACTGGAGATGGAGAGGGGATTTGAGGCGAGGGACTTTTTGGAGGTGGGGAAGGTTCGGGGGAAGGGACGCGTTCTGGAGTCGGTCTATTCTCTGGTAGGGAAGGATTGGGGGTAACAGCTTCTCCGGGCGATACACAGTCGTCTACAATAAAACAACATGTCATTGTTATTTTTGAAAACTGAGTACACTTTTAAAGGAATGATTATTTTCGAGCTCCAAATAGACCTTTTTAGCTTCGTATGCAAAAATTGCCCAATTCAGATCACATGTCATTCCCTTGAGAATTGTTCTTTTATGCCGAACATATTACAATTACACATGAAAGAATCAACTTTCAAAAGAAACATCACATGGCCTGAAATGTGCACAGCAAACAAAACGAAGCTGTGTTTCTTGATTACAGACTCATTTGCTCAGGATTGTTACTAGAATAGGGGCGTGGTTATATATCTGACTTTCGTACAACTGGTACAAGTTGACCAAGTTACATTAAAATATATCAGCAGTGCCCTTATAGCTATAGTTTACTCTTGGCCCTTTGCAATGAGACGGGTCGCCCTATCGATCTTTAAGTAGACGGGACTTGACTTTAAAACCTCGCATTAAATAACGCTTTTCAAATTTGTCTAGAATGTGAGGCTAACATAGAAATACAAAAGAAGTGCCACAAATTCCATCCAATAAAAGTGTGACTATTTCTTGTGTATTTTTATAATAGCCCCGCATCCAGGTTCTTTTCGATAAGGATTCATTGTGTTGCTTTATTATATAGTTGGGATAGTACGCGCGCTGATTGGTCGAAAACTGTGCTTTATTAGCACCAGGAACAGTAGAGATGTCCATGTAAGAGTTCAAATTGTCGTCAGTTACAGGTAGCAGCAGATGAAAACACTTCTTTAGAAGCGAACCAGGAAGAGGATCAAGTGTACGATTCACAGACTGTGTAGTAAGATTACTCGCTCTAACTTCATTTTAATTACTTTTATTTTTTGTTTTTTACATATTCATTTTCAAGTTTCATTCTTAATTACTTTTTTGGCACGGAAGTGTGTTATTCCTTATTATTATATAGTTAGGATATTACGCGCGCGCTGATTGGTCGAAAACTGTGCTTTTTCAGTGGACGGAGCACAGTGCTGACGCCATCTGCGCGCGCGAAGTTCTGCTAGATCCTGCGGCCGTCTTTCTTTTTGAGTAAAAAAAATCAATACCGAAATAAAATTAATAACTGCATAATAAAACAAAACAAAAAAAAAAAAAAAAAAAAAAGCTTTTTCCGTGCTCCGTTAGGTAATAAAACACTTAGGAAGCGTCGTAAGCACTCAAGAAGTGTGAGAAACACTTACACTTCTTTCGTGCTTACGCCACGGAGCGCGGAAAAAGCTGTTTTATCTGTTAAATATCTAATAGATATATTATACATTATATAATACCTGAAAAGCTTCCATACACTTCTACTCTCATAGCGATCCCATTACGCCATGTTTTGGGGCAGAATCGAACGTAACGAGCATCAACAGGGTTTGACAAGCTGTTTAGAACCACAGTATTGTTATCACTGTTACCTTCAAATACCTGAACAGCAAATAAAATGTGTTTTTTTAGCTAACTAAATAATATTAAAATCAAAGGCACTAGCGTAAGGAGGGGGGAACGGCCTAATGGCCTCGGTCCGTACATTCAAGACCTCATCAGGCACAGTTTTTCCCTATCCGGACCTCCTAACCGGTAAATAACATACATTTATGTAGTAACTACTGAAAAATTGAGAGTAGTATGCTCAATATTTTGGGTGTAAATTTTTTTTGAAAACACTATAAATTACGAAGAAATGTATGGTTGTGTGGCAAAGCAAGACCTCGCTTTCCCCTGATCAAGGGGAACCATGCATGCACCTTCTGTATCATATAAGAGCAGAGTTTGTCAGGCCTCTCCCTTGATTAAATATGTTGGATTTTCTTCAAAAAATTGGAGGGGGGGGGGGGGACAAACAAATATAAGGTAGGTATAGGACAATTAAGAGAACATGAAATCATAATCGTAATATAAAACGACAAGGGTTGTTTAGGAAAGTGTTTCGCAGAATTATTTAACTTCACATTTAATTTACTGATTTATGTTTATTTAACATTTTCTCACATTGTATTTATACCTTTTGTTAACATTTTAAGGTTTTCACTTGGGATTTATTTCCTGAGGAGCGTGGATGGTCTTCCGCTCTGTTTGTTTAAGGTTTAGATAGCATTAACAGGTTATAAGTATTTAATTTTATAAGATATTTTACTTTTATAAAATGACGATGAGTATTTCACAACCTGCACAAAAGAAGGTGCAAGGACAAAACCATGGTTCAACACAGGGACCCAATTTAATTGATTCAGATGATGGGTACCGGTTTGCCTCGTCCCCAGGCTACCCTCTTATTTATCGATATGACGTCACACTTGCGATTTGACTCGTACGTCAGCTCTTATAAGTGTCCGCCATTTTGGATTTGGGAAAGCTGACGGAATAACCTGGGCACGAGTATAGGTACCGGTGAATATCCTATCCTCCTCAGACACCAGGGCCCGGTTGTACGAAGGGTGGATAGCGCTATCCAACGGATAAATCCTTATCTAGTGGATAAGCCGATGCTGTTATCCAATAAATTTATCCACTGGATAATTTATTCGTCGGATAGCGCTTTTCGCTCTTCAAACAACCGGGCCTCGTTGAAATGCTCGATACTGGGTGTCCGTAGCACATATGAACAGACAGGATATTCATGTCTGTGGGTTGACTTTTAGTTTTGGAGATATTCAGGGGAAAATTTAAGGGTTACATTTCCAAAGATAGTGGGTACCAAGTAACCCGACCGCCCTAGCGATTCCTGTCAAAAAACAGGGCTGTAACCAGAGATTGCACTGGGTGCACTCATGATTGCAACCCACATACAAGCTAAAGGTCTGCTTAATTTTGAATATATTTTTCTTTCTTTTTTTTTTTTTTTTTTTGTCTGGATTTGCCCCGTGGAAATCCTTAGAATTTTATATAGCACTTCTTAAAAGACAAAGTTCAATTTCTATTTCATGTGTACCTGGCTGGGAAAACCCCTGGTTACGGCCCTTAAAAACTATCATATCAAATTTGCCAGATGTTGTGTTTTACGTTTAGATATAACTTTCTTTACTGTATATCTAAAAGATTTACACAGTCCTTGTGCGACAAATAATTAAGAATCATCTTCCACACCTTTATAACGAACGTAATGGCCCTGAATGCTTGTAGTTCAATCATGGTTACATCGCATTATGAACTTATAAGTCAGTAGGTACGATTTACCGGCAATATTTTTGGAGTTTAACAGAAATTTAGTTTACTTTTTCGCGAGTTTTTTTCTTTCTTTTTTTCTTTTGTGTGTGTGTGTGCTTTGTTTTTGTTTTTGTTTTTTGTTTGGGGGGGGGGGGGGGGGGGGGGCATATCTTACTCTTTTTAACAACTTTGTTCGTTAGCCCTCAAATTCATTCTAGCTTCGTCCGCAGCTAAATCTCGCCTAAGCCGCGGATGGGATTGCTGGGGAGATCTGTTAACACAGGAAACCCAAAGGCAAAATTTGCTTGGAGGCATTTCTAGTAGAATTTCCCCCATGTTTTAGTGCGATTGACACAACTCACAATACCTTTACAGCACCGTCTTCCCGGTAACTACTCCATTTCTTGCCGTCATTACTGTATGTCATTGTGTACGACTGGACCCATCTAAGATCCTTCTTGGCGACTTTTTCATCTTCACTGGGGTAACCCTGTGTAGCAACCTTGAATAAGGCGAGAGAAAAATAAGTGAAGATACTTCAATCCTCAATCCTGAATTAATCTCTGGGCTGATCAAAGCTAGTGCGCGCCTAACTCACATATAAGATTGGAATATTTTTATTTTATATTATATATTATTGGGATATATAATATGAATTATATTAGCGGGCCAACAATTTATAATCATAATCATAAATTAACGAAAACGTGACCAAGAACTGAACCAGTAAAAACTACACTTATTTCTAGGTTGGTGTCCTTAATACAAGCCCTGTCATTAGCGCCCTCCTCTTCCTACCCATTTCAGACTCAGTGCTCTGATTGCAGGATACTCCGAAAGGAAGAGGTTCGATCGAGCTAGGCCTCGCTTGCTAGAAGGTAGCTTACTCGCACACCAACTAATTTAACCATAGTCACGTCAGTGGCGTAACTAGAGCCTTAGGGGAATGGTGGAGTGGAAGTTCCCGCCAAATCCCAAAACCACAGGAATTCCACCATAAAATGAAAACCTTTGTTTTTTTTTTTTTGAAACGGGGAAGCGTTCGTGCCAATTCGCTTATTTACGCCATTAGCCACACTAGCCCCAAACCTATAATCCGTTCGTTCCCGATGACTTACTTGCATCAAGGTTGCCACACCCCCAAGATCCACTTCAAGATACTGCTTGTCGCTATTATTCTTGGCACACCATGCTCCGCCGCCTTTTCTCGATTTCTTGGTATTGTTCAAGCGGGCTTGGGCCCCAGAGTGATATCGGTCAAATGACGAGGATGACCTGATTGAGGAGTCTGGTATGAGGCCGGTTGATAGACCGAGAGGGACTGGAACTATTCCTGTCATTAGATCGGCTATAGCAAGACAAAATAAGATTGTTACACTTTGATATGACGTAATCATGATACTCAGAAAACTAATGCTGATGATGAGGTTGTTGATGATAATCAATGATGTTACGAATAATGCTAATAAAGGGATATAACCAAGCATGACACGGCAATGCTTTAGACAATACCAATGACGATGACGGAGGTGGCTGACAATGATGTTGATGATGATGGTGATGATGATGGTAATGGAGATGATGGTGATGATGATAGTGATGATGATGGTGACGATGATAGTGATAGTGATGGTGATGATGATGGAGATGATGATGATGATGGTGGTGATGATGATGATGATGGTGATGATGGTGGTGATGATGATGCTGATGATGATGATGATGGTGATGATGATAGTGATGATGATGGTGACGATGATAGTGATAGTGATGGTGATGATGATGGTGGTGATGAAATCAAAAATAATGACGGCGACTGGTGGTGGTAATGAGTTAATAGAGAGGAAAGCACATAAATCTAATGGAAGGGTGGTAATCGGAGAACGATGATGATGATAATGACAATGCTGATGCTGATGACGATGATAATGAGGATGCTGGTGCTGATGACGATAATAGTCATGATCATGCAGTGTAATGCTGTCGAGTCAGAAAACACAATACAATTTATCAGGTAATTACCAGTATCATCGATTGACATCGGACTCTCTTCGACAGCTACATTATCTTGGGCATCGAGAGAAGACAAAGAAGGCGCTGATAAGTGATTTGTTGATTTTGAACTCCGTCTTTCATCCTCTTTCTTCTCATTGTCCTTCTTTTCCAGAACTAAAGGAATTGGAGAACTACTCTTCTCTTCCATTTCAAAACGTTCATTCGAATTTGCCTCTTTGGCGTCTTCTGCTGCCTCTTCATATCCATCCACTTCCATTTGCCCTTCAGGCTCATTTTCTGACTCTGATGACGTGTGTTGCGTTAGTTGCATTAAATCTACGTCATAATCTGATACAACTATCGACGGGATGCTGTCTCGTTGCTCGTCAAGTCTCTGTTGTCGCGCCTCTTCTAGAAGACGCTGGTGTTCTTTCTCCATTCGTTCGCGTTCCTCTCGTCTTTCCCTGATTCCCTCGAGAGGGTCGACATATTGATCTAGAGAATAAAGAAAACAACTAACTCGAATAATCAAGCCCAGCAGTCACTTTCCTATCAATAGAGAGTTTAAGCTTCTCGTTTGCGGCAAACGTGAAACGTCAGTTGACCATTAAAAATTCTTTAAAATTAATGAAAAGGAATCGCAAAAATCTCCAAGTACTAGATAAAATTAAGAATATGTGTCTTTGTCGAGAAGGTTTGCAAAAGGTAAAGTGAAATGTAGGGAAACGATGAAAACGTGGTCACGTTTGCCGTTTGCGGGAAGAAAAAAACGGGAATCTTAATCTGCCTATTGATTCTTATATTTTTTCATCTATTTACTCATACGCTCATTTTCCCCAAGATCTATCCATTCATGATAACTCACTCGCGCGTTAGTCTTTTGCGTTCTTTATTCGTATCCATCCATTCGGATCTATCTGCCAACTATTCAACCATCCTTCCACCCTTTCACCCATCTACACGTCCAATTTATTTTATTTTTTCCACACCCATTTATTTATAGCCCAGCCTTTCGTTTCTTTGCATTTCTTCGTTCGTTCGTCCGTCTCATTATCCGCCATGTATTCGCCCATGCACTAACTACCCATTGACCCATTTACACGTCCAAATCCATGCATATTTATCTTGTTTAGACTTATTCATTCACAACTCATCCTTTCGTTGCTTTGTATTTCTTTATTTGTCCATCCATCCATCCATCCATCCACTTATTCGCCATGCATCCATTCACCCATCCAACAACTCACTTCATTCTTATGTCCACTTAATTTCATCAGTTACGTTTTTCAAAAATCCCATTCAGTAAAAAATTTTTAGTTTTCCAATCCATTCATTCATGACTCATTTGTTCGTTTATTTGTATTTCTTTCTTCGTCATTTATCAGCCATGCCACCCAATCTATCCCATACATTCACTTCCATTAGTCTTTCCGTCCGGCATATTATTTTTTTTCTTCCTTTTTTTAATATTTGGTTGGTAAGTAACGGAAAAAATGGTGCCTATTACCTTTATTTTTTCTGAATGCCAGAAGGCGTGTCGTGTGTTCATCTCCTAACCCTGCAGTTTGTTGCTGAAACGCTTCCCATGCTTCTGTTATCTTTTTGAACCTCTCCAACAATCTTTCAAACCGCTACAAAACCAGACATCAAAAGATATATTGATCATGTTAAATTGACTCATATTGCATATAAAAAATGCGAATTTCTACAACAGCCTCTGCAGTGCTTCTCAATAGCACGTGCGAAATTCTCGAAAGTATGAAGAAATAGAAAACGCGCGCGCGTGTTGTGTGCAGTTAAAAAGCAAGGGGGGAGGGTGGTTGGCAGAACAAGAGAAAAGCGTGAGGAGAAATTTCTCGAAATGTCTCGAGTGTTCTGCCAATCCCAAGCGCTTTATAACTCCACCACACACACAGCAAGCAAGTTTTTTTATTTCTTTCATGAAATACAAAATATAACACATTTTTAGATAGGAAAGTGCGCGCGCGTGCTGTGTGCTCTCATAAACCACGCGCTCCCAACCAAGCAGAACTCGAGAATCATAACGGTTACTTTATAATAGGGTTTGGCGATTCAGGCGTTTCCATGACAATCCATAGGAAGTGCTATTGAGAACTTTGTGTTTTCAATGTAATGGAAACACTTTGATTGACGTCCACAAAAACCCTATTTTATCGCGACGACAAATTGTAATTGCACTCGTAGTTACGCAAACACCGAAAGTTAAAATACCTCGTCTTCTCTCATCTCCTTTTCGAATCTCATCCTTGTCTTTTGCCGTCGTAGAACGGATAGAGTTCTTGCATGTTCACAACGTTCGACATGTGGAAAAGGATCCTTAGTAACGAAATTTAAGTTAATTATTCTATTAATTAGACTAATTTTCAGATAACATTGGTTCCAGTGTATTAGGTCTTTGCAGAGGAAAGAATCGGAGAGAATCCGTCGAATCAAGAGAGAGACCTACCAACCTGTACTACACTACACCAACCCAGATTCCCATAAGACGTACTCAAGTACGTCAAATTCTTATCTTTGGAAAACGGGATCGATATTGTATCTATATATGCATGTGCAAGAAAGTGGTGTTTTCCACCCTTGATATTTGGGTTGAGGTGTGAACTTGAACCTGCTTCACTTCACTGTGCTTCAACTTGAAACTTGTCATTTAGAGGACTGGTCTTACAAAAAATACTTCATAGTATTCAGTATTGTTATAGTCACAGCCTTGAGGAAATCCCCCAAATACTGAGAGAGGATGGCCCATTTGAAAGCCAAGATTGAAGAGTATCAGTTTAACTTACCAACATGTCTTCTTTGCTTTTGTCAATGAGGTCAAGATGTTTCCAAAAGCTCTGATAAAGTTGTAATTTCTGAAATGAAAAAAATTGAAAAAATGGTCATTAAACTAATTATATATTTTATACGTCTGGATTTTGTTCATTCCTGAATTATCCATCCATTGATATATATGTTTGCCTCTATTCTTTAATCTGTCGTGAGCTATGTGATATTTTAATGCTAAAATGCTTGAGCTTTAAAAGAAGGGTGGATAGAGCTATAAATCCTTATCCAGTGGGTAAATTGTTGGTGTTATCAAATATATATATATCCAGTGGACAAGATTTATTTAAGGCAAAAAAAAAAAAAAGTGTGTTTCCTGTTGCATGAGAAAAATAATTGGGGTCAGTAGGTCAGATTTTTTTTACTGGATAAATGAGGAAATGAGCTTACTGAGAACCCTGTGGTGCATTTGGGAATGAAAAAAATATTGGGGTCGGCAAAAATTGGCAGGAAAATTAGGGTCGGTGGCGCAACAGGAAACACACTTATTTTTTTGTTTGGCCTAATTATCCAGTAGTGCTATCCACCCTTTGTACCACTGGGATAAATCATATCCATTTGATAAATTTATTGGATACCAGCATTGATTTGTTACATTTGTACATTTGTTATCTATTACATTATTGTAAATTGGCCATTTACTGCAAGTTTTCAAAATTTTCTCTGACTCATTACGTCATACCTGTTTTGGTGGAAGCCACCGTCCAAGTTCAGACACCCATCTTGGTAGACCACGCCTGTTATGGCTCTTATTGTGTAATATTCTGTGCCTTGAAACTGATGATGGTGTTGGGCATGCCGTGTGGGGCAGTCTGGCACTGCCAGTAAGCTGTCTATCAAATAACAGTGGACTTGAATCATTCTGATCGTCTGGGAAAAACTTATTTCTTCTGACATCCTATAAATATTGCAAAGATAATTTATTAAGTTGTGTGGTATTAGGAAGTGATTAGCAAGGCGTTGCAAGATTTTCCATGGTGCATTTGGTTCTCTGTGGGATGACTTGCCACAGGTAGCTCAAAGTATGCCATCACAAAATGTTAAAAAAGATATAAATGCACTGCTTGCAACAAATAAAGATGTTAAAAAAAAATAAAGGACAAAGTTGAGTAAGATTAAGAATGTGCTTAAACTGTCTAAGCCAACTACCACTTAGGATTTAATGAACAGACATTGAGACAGCTCTTTTCGATCATAGTAACATATTAACTATGCTATCTTTCGACATGAACTATGTTTTAATAAACCCACTAACCACGATAAGAAAATAATATAGTAAGGTATAAATAAACTACTGACTGATAAACTCATCCTTGAGCTTTTAGATAAATAAAACGCTTCGAAATAACAATGGTTTGTTTGTGTTTTATTTCACTTCAGTGCCAATTATTATAACAACTGAAAATCTTTAGAAATCTAGTGAACTTAAATCAAGAGAATATAATCAATAATTTTGAGGAAATAATCATTGATTAAACTTTGAAAAAGCTGTTGCTTTAAACACCTGGATATTTTTTATTAATCAAAGCTTTAGTTAGTCAAATAAATGATGATCAAACAGAATTATAAAAGTGTGAGGTCATTAGCGTAAAATTCAGTGTCATTTTACTTCTAAATTATTTAAATCTTAAAGCTGATTTCGATCCCTGAACAAGATAGCAGCATTAGCTCTTAAATATTCATTGAGAGTACTGTTAAACAGTAACATCAGTTAATTTGAAATAAAGTTTACTAAGGTACTTATCACTTCTATACCTGAATGTTTGCATTGTTGTCAATCACCCCTCGTTTCGTCTTCTCGTCGTCGTTAGAGAAACTTTTACATCGCCAAAGTTTTGGTTCATCTTGAGTCAAACTCAGCCGATAATTCTTCTTCTCTGATGACTGAGATTCAGGACGCTGTAGATAGGGCAAAGCAGGCATGTTTTACACTTCAAGTAGCAGTTTATTGTCAGCCATTGTGGTTGAAATTATCATGTTAGCGTTGTTATGTCGACAGCTTGTACTTAGTGACCAGACAAAGGGGAGAGGCATAGGGACATATTTGTTCTTTCGCTTTTAAAAAATACCAAAACACTTTTCTAGTGACTTTCTACTTACTTCTCACTATGCACGAATATTTCGATACTATTTTCCAAATTTTATTTTATTGGATAGCTTGAATAATTAAAGTTATTTGAGTTTTGACAAAGCTATTTCTACACTACCCCTGAAGGAGAATAATTATAAAACCTGTATATTTTTCTACAAAAGAAGTGCTGGTCTAGAATGAAATAATAATCTATGTAAAACAAACCTAGGAAAAATAAAATGCATTTCTTGGAAAATTTTCTGAAAAATTAATGTAATGTACTTCAAACTTCAATACTGCTCCGTATGAATACAAAAGGTACTCAGCGGAGTAGGGAGAGGTAGTTTTTTGCTTTGTTTTTTATCTTATTCCTTCTTTAAATTTCTTTTCATTTAATGCTTTTGAGGAATTGTTTTTTATTTTGGTTTTTAATTGAGAAAATAAATAAAATAAGTTCATTATCTGTGGCGGTAAAATGCTTAATTTTATTTTAGCTGCCAAGTTTTGATGAATTATTTAAGCTTTACGAACCCCTACCCCGTACGGGAACATTTCCAATTGAATGGCTTTGCACAACGAAAGTGTGAGTGACAAAAACAACTTGAAGTTTTTACCGTGATTTTTCCCTTCAGATTAACGAGATTTGACCTATACTTTCAACAGTTGAAGTACTTCACCTTTATTGAGGGTTCCAGTGCCAATAGTTGAATCTTTTGACAGTATTTAACTTTCTAAAGTCAAGACAGCTGCAAGACAGACTTCTGTGTGGACTTCATTTATCCTATATTCATTATTCGCGCGTTTTGTTTACAAAACTACAATTTGAAGGCGTTTATTAGCGTGTACTTTAAGCAGTTTATATAACCTCAAAGTATATATTGGGACATCCTAAAGTCATATCACTTGGTTGAAGGATATCTTTAAATTCAATTTAACGTCGAAAAGAGATCAGAATTTGGCACGAGTTTCTTTTGGTCACTATTCTTGAGAGAAGCGTTTTCAAAGCCGGGAAAATTTCTTTATTCATCTGCTGTGGATCGATGATGGTAAAGGGACTTTAAACTGGATAATATGACATCTGAGTACGAAAATAAAGGGACTTATCCTTACGAGATCAATGAAATCACAAGAGGAATAAACGCTTTAGCGACAAATTTAAACGAACAGAGGAATTTCCACTCAACAATGGAGAATCAACGTTCACCTTCTTCGAATTCGTATGTGAACAGTTCAAAAAGAATTCAGAGGAGAGAATATAATTCACAAATGGACGATAGTGGAGCTTATAACGGCAATTATAGACAGTACTATCTCCCTCCATCTCCGAGAAATAATATGGCGTCGTTTCAGACGGGGTATCCAATTTCTTCCCAACCTACATTACCGCAAGGGGTAAATCCTCCGTATCAAATGCGGAAAACACAGATTGGAACAGTGGACGCTAGACTCACATCTCCACTCGATGACCCAAGTCAAAATCGAATTTCTGACTTGTCGATTTCATCTAGTGGTTCTTACAGCTCACACAGCTCGACTGACGAAATAAGTAATTTAATGAGACAGACACATATTGCGGTTTATAAGTTCAACGTGCGACATGAGGATGAAATCAGCCTGGAAGTAGGAGATGCTATATGTCTTCTTAAGTCCCATGATGAATCTTGGTTCGAGGGGACAAATCTACGGAGCGGTCAAACTGGAATGTTTCCTTCAAGATATGTCTCTGATATTCTTCAATATGCCAAGAAAAGGGGTATGTACGTGCCTTATGAATAATTAAAAGGATGAATGGAAAATATCGGAAGAAAATTCCCTCAAAGTTCCTTAATTATCTTTCCTCTTATTTTTGTCATCTATACACACACTAAAAAATATTATGGCCAAAATTATTCATTTTAAGGAAGTTTCAATAACAATATTCCTTGGTGGTATCTCCTTCCAAATGCACTCATTAAGTTAAAAAGTTTGTGTTGTTCAACGTCATTAGGGGAATTTTACCTCCTAGAGTATGAATAAAATTTATTCACAGCTAGCTCATGTGACAACAAATATGACACAAGCAAGATAGTTTATGGGAATTTTTCTACTCAAGTAACCTGCTTTTGAAACAATTTTTAGAATTGCTAGTAAATATTTACTTTTTCCAGTTTATTGAATAGTTAATAGAATTAATATACAATTTGACCACATCTTGTCTGCCATGCATAGATTTTTTAATGTAATTATCTATCACCATCTTCATGCAGAACAAAAAGAAGATTTAGTTTAAAATATCACATTTAATTCTTTCATATTTTTTTCCACATTGTTCAATTAAGTTTTATGAATTAATTATATTTTTTGAAAAAATTTTTTGTCCATTTTAATATATTATCCTAATTAATATCTATATGTATAGCAACTGAAGAGTAATATGATGTAAATAATATCAAAATCAAAGTTAAATGCGATTATCTATACAGTTGTAAGATGTTAGGAATGTGAGTTTGACTGACAGAAGCCAAAATGTATAATGCAAGGAAATGTTTCACACACATCTGGAGTTGTGTTAGTCTCCCTCGCATCCGTTTTTAGTGTCGGTCGTCCTGCAACGCTAAAAACGGATGCAAGGGAGACTAGAGTTGTGTAGGTAATTCACATATAAATATAAATTTTTTTAATTTTCATTTTTCAGATTCTTCATCAAGTTTGGTTAGTTCGAATTCATCTGATAATAATCAGTTTTACTTGAGGTACTGAAAAATGATATAGTGAAATTAACTTTTCATTTTATTAATATCTCACATATAAGTGATAGAGAAAAAACAAAACCTGCGTCAACCGTGTCCCTAAAGTATATTTTTCTTACATTTTAAAATGAAAAGTTTTATTTCATTTAGTTGATTTGTTTTGTTTTTGTTTTTTGTTTTTTTTGTTTTTTTGTTTGTTTTTTTTTGTTTTTTTTTGTTTTTTTTTTTGAACTAAATAGTTTATGTTCAACAGAGTTCAAACTTGGTAATCTGGAATTTTCATTTGCTGTATTATTGGAAGGAATATTTCATTAAAAAGGCAGTGTTTCACACCATTATAGTAACCAAACTCTAGGTCAGATATTATACTCTCTGCATATCTTAACGTCTGTGGTTGAAAATCAAAAACAACAGATGTTGTTGTGGTTGTTCTTTCAAAAAGAAAAGGGAGGCCTGTGTAGTTAAAAGATTTCTGGTCACTATATTTTTACAGCTGGAGAACCTACATAGCACTCAGTTGATGTAATATGTATTCAGTAAATCTATTGTATTCCATTGTCTTTCTTTCTATTGTATTGGGTGTGATTCATTGTATTTTTATGAATACATTACATCAACTGCTTGCTACGTAGGCTCTCCCACATTTTTACAGGGTAGTAAAGGGGATGAATATATTATCTTTACAGTACACTGTATTTTATTAGAGATATTTTGTTTTTACATAGGTTTCTTGGGTCTGTAGAAGTGGCAGATTTTAAAGGAAATGAAGTGCTTTGCTCTGCTATGAAAGAGGTATGAAAAGGTTTTTTTCTAATTCCTCTTTTGCTTATGTTTTTTTTTTCTTTCTTTCTTTTTTTTTTTTTTTTTCTTTTTTTTTTTTTTTTTTTTTTTTGCGAGGAGTTGGGCCTCGTAAAAAAAACAGAGGGTCGCTACGCTGGCTCAGTAGTAGACCAAATACTTTTCTTTTTCATAACACTGGCCACGTGTCATTCCCTAGAGTATCATTTCTTTGTTTGACGGTTGCA